ATTAGAGTAGTAATAGTAGAGTTATTAACTAACAAAACTAATAAGTTTAGGGGGGCAGAACCAACGCGAATTTATACTCTATCTTTAACGCGCTAGATTATAACAACAGTGCTAAATTTAGCAGGTATAATTATTTAATGTAAAAGAGTAAAAGCAATTGTACAGCTTCTATTACAGAGATTAGAGGTTATTGTAGGATTAGAGGTTAGTAAGAGCTTATAAAAGAGGTAGTTGTAATAAGGCTAGTAATAGGCAGCATTAGCGTATAACGGAAGCTCTCCCTAAACCGCACTAGGCTTAATTAAGCCTAAAATAAGACTAAAACACTATAAAAGAGGTATAATTTAAATAAAATAGCTCTAATAATACAAATTGCAGTAGTAGTTAAGTTATAGTAGTAAAAAGTATAGAGTTTAGACCTCCTTAGCAAGCACGAAGTTCAAATTGCCTTTGCTAAGGTGGAGGTAGCTTATATGCGATCGATCTGGCCATACCCTGTAGTCTGTCCGGAGGTAGGGAGTGGGAAGGCAGGCTGTTGAACGAAACTCAATTACAACTTATAATAAATTCAAAATAGCTTTTTAGATAGCGTAATTGCAACTCTATAAGTTACATAGTAAGAGTATTACTATTTGGGCAAGTGTTATTGGAGTTCTCCTATCTAATAATAGTGCTAGTGATAGAGTGTTCCAAGGTTTGGTGATATATCAAGCAATTGCAGGGGTGACCAAAAGGGTAAGGCGCCAGCCGGGCCGCTCCAGGACTCCCCGAACCTCACCAACAACCTTTCCACAAGTTGAGCCATCCCAGCCCTGTATACTCGCTACTCACATTGCAAATGAGATGGCTTCCACAACGCCAGACGGTATGGTAAAATCATGCGCTCGGGATCAGCTTGGATGGAACATAACATGTCATGCGAGTTAATTCCACGCGTGGGATAGGTAGATATACCTCTTTTCGCGAGATCAAAACAGAGACTGATTTATAGCAAGCCAGTAGCCTGTCAAGCTCAATGTGCCCCTTCTAAGCTACCGCGGATCGAAGCACGAATAGTTCTTAAGACAGACCCAAGAAACGACAGACCGCAGTTAAACGTCACAGCACGTCCTATCAGCCATGCAACGCGAGCAAGCCCTCAGCCGCTTGCTTGCCCAACGCCTCGAGCGTTCCCTTGCTCACCATTTCCAATACGCTGATATCCAGCCCAAACATCTGCTTCCACCACGCCCGCATCTCCACCGCCACCATCGAGTCTAGCCCGAGTTGTGCAAGCGATAGCGATACATCAAGCTCGTCTTCCACAGGCCGCAGCACCAGGGCCAACAGCTTCTTCCCAATCTCCCGCGCTAAGAAGACGACTGACTCCGGTGTGCTGAGCGTCTCTGGGTTGGCCTTGACTCTGCTCAGAAATTGCCGCAAACCGTCGCTTGAGGCACCGTCCCTGACTTGGCTGCGGATGTTGCGATATACCGACATGCGGACGTCCTTGCGTAGCTTGGCGCTGCTGTCGGGACTGCTGAGCGGAATGACTGGTGCAATCCCCACGAGTGTGACGTTTGGGTTGACGAGGTTGACCAGGCTCGACTTTTGCGCATCGGCATCCTCCTTGGCCGGCTCTTGAAGTTGAGCCCTCATCTGAGCTGGTGCCGAACGCGATCGTCGCATAACGGTCCCCAACACCTCCAGGAGCTCCGACTCCTGTACCGCGCGCCAGCCTGTTCCCTTCATCTTCTTGAGCAGCTCATCGTCCTCGACGAGGTAACCTGCGCCCTCCACGGCTCCAATGTCGAGCGATGTACAAGGTAGCCCCTTGCTTGTCCGGAACTTGACGAATGCATCGAGAAAAGTGTTTGCGCTGGCATAGTTGGCCTGTCCGGGCTGACCCACGATGCCGGAGAGTGAGCTGAACAAGATGAAGAAGTCGAGCTCCAGGGACTGCGTCTCGTTGTGCAGGTTCCATGTCCCCCTCACCTTGGGCGCCGTCGCTCCGTTCCACTCGTCAATTGTCATCTTCCGCCAGGCTTGGTCATGAAGCACCATCGTCATCTGGAGAATTCCCTTGAGCGGGCGAGGCGACTCCGCAACAGCGCGCGCCACGTCGGACGCTTCAGTGACGCTTCCACGTACTAGATGCACCTCACATCCCATGCTCTGGACCTCTTCGATGAACAGCTTGTCTTTCTCGGTCGTGCCAGCGCTGCGGGAGAGGAATGTGAGGTGTCGGGCTCCATTCTGGACCATCCACACCGCTACAGAACGGCCCAAACCGCCCAGACCGCCCACGAGCAGATACGAAGCTGAGCTATCAAGCATGGGTGTAGTGGAAGTACTAGGAGGCTGAATCCTTCCAAGCTGAAGTTCCCCAGATGTCGGTTCACGGAATTCGAGCACGATTTTGCCGATGTGGCTGCCCTGCTGCATGTGCTGGAATGCTTCTTGCATCTTGGAGCCAGGGAAGATCTTGTCGATCAAGATGGGTTGAATGTGACCGTCGCGGAAGAAATCCATCATCGATCGAAGTAAGCTTGCGACCACGTTAGCCTGATTCCTCAATGTGAGCAACAACCAAAACTCACCGGCCGACCATCTCGGGCCTCTCCTTGCACATCTGGTCAATGTCTACACATCGATAGCTGCGATTGGCAAGGAACACCTCCATGTTGAGCTTGCCAGCGCCAAGAAGGTCACGCTTGCCAATCTCTACCATAGTACCCCATTTGGCAATGCAGCGCCAAGTTGCATGCAGCAGCTCTCCCGAGAGCGAGTTGAGCGCCAGGTCAACACCCCTGCCGTTTGTTTCCCTTAGCAGGTCTTCTTCGAAGCTCACGCTCCGCGAGGTGAAAATGTGACTTCTTGGGATGCCGAACTCTCGTACAAGAAATTCGATCTTTTTCTCACTGCTGACCGTTGTATAAACTTCGGCGCCAATCATGCGGGCCAGTTGGATTGCAGCTAGGCCCACACCACCACAGCCGCTATGGATTAGAACAGACTGCCAACACCGTCAGCATGACCGCGTTCCTCAGAGACAATTTCACCTTACCTGGCCTTTTTCAAGTCCACCGACGTTGATGAGCGAATAGATGGCCGTAGCGAAGACCAGCGGCATGGAAGCTCCGCTGGCGAAGTCGAGTCCATCTGGGAGCCTCTCGCACAGCCTTTCGCTGGTCGTGACGGTCGACGCAAAGACGTCGCATCCTATGAGGGCAACTCTGTCTCCAACCCTGAGCTTTCCTGCCTTCGGCCCGACGCGACGCACGATTCCCGTAGCCTCGTAACCAAAGGTGGGAGGGGACAACTCAATGATCCCCATTGCCACCAGAACATCCTACAACGGCATTAGTATGGGTATCCTTTCAGAATAGTGATGGGCGAAACACTTACGCGGAAGTTCAACCCTGCGGCTTGGATCTCTACTTGCACCTCATCCCCGTGGGGTGCCTTCACAGTCTCGCCTCCCCAGTGAAGGGTGTCAAGACGTCCTGGCTGACTCATAGTCAAGCGTGCATCCTTGAGCGTCTCGACGACTGCAGCCTCGCTTACAGACGACACCGGAAAGAATCTATGCACGCGCGTCATACCGTTCTCGATAACATATTCGAAATCGGGCTCAATCTCTCCGTCATTGGCCCTCTCTGAGAAACTCTGGAACACGCTAGCAACCGCTCGACATCCTTGCGGAGTTTCGATGTCATCCGCCTCGCAAGTTGCAAAAGCAATGCCTAGCTCTGACCGGAGACACCGAGCCAGGCCGTGGATTTGGGCGAAGCTTGGGTCTGCGCATTGACTCTGAGAAGGCTGGGTCATCCACAGAATGCCCGAATCGGCGATGTTATCGATGAAGTTTCTCAACTGTTCAAGTTTGGTTGCATCTAGCTGGTTCAAGAACGCTGTTTGTCCATCGAGGAGGGCGATGATGTCCTGACCGGGCGGAGGAATATCCGCGAGGCTGCAATAATAAATTTCATACCCACGCGCGATGAGTTCTTCAGTGATCGGATGAGATCTGGAGGATCCGGCTGCAACCTCCGAAAGAATAGTGACCTTCTTGGCTGGAAGGTGCTCGCGCCGGGGTCTCGCTACGATAACGTGGCTTATATGACTTGACTCGTCAGAATCGAACACAGGCTCACCAACGATCTCGAAATCTGTCGCCGCCAACCTGTTTTGCCAACTCTTCACATCGACATACGGCTCCACAGATCTACCGTCATCAACGCCAATCTCCCAATTAGGGAGAAATCCAAGGACATATTTGGCCCACGGCAGACCGGGCCGCAATGACTGAAGCAGAACCCTTCCTGATGGGGCGAGAAGCTGGCGAACCCGGACGAGGGACTCTGAAAGCTTGGGCGTACTGTGAAGAACTCCTGCTGCAATGATAAGATCGAAGTCTCTCTCATTAAAGCCCTGAAGCTCGGCGTCAACCCCAATGTCGAATGCTTCAAAACTCATATTGGGGACGCCTTGGAAGCGCGTCTTGAGGGCGTCGACCATGCCTTGCGATGGATCAGACACCACGTACTGCGAGAAAAGCACCTGGCCATCAGGTCGTGTCAGATCCTTGGCAATGCCAGCTGTGGCCGATCCAATGCCTGCGCCCAGCTCCAGAACCCGAAGGTTGGGCTTGTTGTGGCCAAGGCGGGTGAAAAATGCAGATCCATCGAATTTCTCCAAGAAGCGATTGAATTTCCCGAGGGTGTCTTGTGAATCTAAGCTTTCGAAAGGCTTCTTGCGACCAGAAAGCACAGCAGGTGCATCGGCTGTGACTAAAGTGATGGCTTTGGCAATGGGGGCACTGGGTGTTGACGCCAGAGATGTTGCGAGAGATTTGATACGAGCGTTCAACATGGTATCGTCCAATTCTTCCGAGCACGACGGGATCTCGTCAAGCCATGCCTTATATCGTCGAAACTCTGGAAGGACATCGAGACCGGCAGTCGATCTCCGAGAGGCAGCGATCGAGAGGCTGACGAGCTCATCCAACGTTGCGGCGTAGGCTTGATTATCTCGCATGGGCTTCACGAGAGTGGTGAGAGCTTCAGTGTCAATATGTGGTACCCACTCACTCTGCGCGTTAATGGGCGCACGTTCTTCTACATCACCATTCGTGAAGGACGCCAGACGGACATTCGAGAGCTCGATGATGGGCTTGTCGCCAGCTGCAACCATGCCTGTTCCACAGACCCCGCTGCCGACGGGCTCAGCTATCGCCGACACGACAAGATTATTGACAGCGCTGCGGCGAAGCATCAACGAACCTATGCTGGCGGGAAGGACTTGATGGTAGTCATACGTGAGTCCGTACCGAGCGGCAATACTGAGAAGTTGGAAGTAGGAATCTAATATGACAGGATGAAGGTGGTAGAATTGCTCGTCTCCATGCCAGTTGTTGCGGACTCGTGCGCGAGCACGCCGTGGGCCGGTCGTTGTCGTCGTGATGTCATTGAGACTCACAAAATGGTAGCCATAGTCGAAGCCCTCACGGCGCATCGTATCGTACCAACGCTTGCTGGAAGCTTTACGGGGCAGATCCTCCTGCAGAGCCACGCGATTAGGCATGGCCTCTTTTTCGTCCAGGGCCTGAATCTCGCCGGAGCAGTGTTTTGTCCAGGTATGTCCGTTGTGGGATGCAATGCTAAACTCCCACCATTCACTTTCCAGCGAATCTGTCAGACGGAGCCGATGGAAAGTAGTGACAAGCTCTTTGGGCGAACTCCCGTTGAGAACCAAGGCGGTGCGCACGGCAACATTTCGAAACTCAACCGCTTCTTCGACGCCAGTGATCTGACGGATAGCCTCAGCCGCCATGGCAATGTAGCCGGCGAAGGGGAAGATGATGTCGGCGTTGATCTTGTGGTCACGTAGCCATGGAGCATTCTCAATGTGCAGCAAGTTCCGCCACACCGGCTCGAGGTCTGTGGTGTCAGGGACCTTTGCACCCAACAGGTCGTGGTGTCGGTGTTTCCGCATTCTCCACTCATGAGCGATGCGGGATTCGTTCCAATGACTGCGATGATGATCCCAAGGGTAAGGGGGCAGATCGGAGAGGGCGTTGCCAGTCGGCATCAAAGCCTGAAGGTCAAAAGGCACATGCTGAGCAAAGAGTTGGCCCAGAGCGGAAAGCCAGCTTTCGGCACTGTCCGTTCGTCGGGTCAAAGTCGAAATATATGCTGCGCTGCTGGAGCTGTGGGTGAGAATCTGTCGAAGGGGTCCGGCCAGGGCTGCATGGGGACCAACTTCGAGGAAGATCTGCTTGGAGGGGCCGACGTGCTGTTTAATAGCGGAACTTACGGCTGATTTGAACAACACAGGCCGTTCCAAGTTGGTCTGCCAGTATTTGGGCCCAAATCTACTCTTGCCGGCAGGGGCGAAGAATTCGCCTGAAACGCTTGAGAAGAAGGGAAGAGTGTGAGGGCTGCCCACGACGCCAGCGTTGGTCATGCTCGCGTAGTATTCACCGCCGACTTCTGCCATGTGCGGCGAGTGATAGGCCTTCTCCACTTTGAGCACGGTGGCTAGGATTCCAGAGCCGGACTCCTTGATGTTCTTGACCGTATCCTGTACCGGACCTGCATCTCCCGAAATGGTTACACTGTTCGGCGCGTTGTCACAGGCGAGCACCACGCCAGGGACAAGATGCTCCTTGGCAGCCTCCCAACCCATACCCAAAGCTGCCATGGCGCCCTTCTTGCGGCTCTGCCGTGCCACTACGAGCCCACGCAGGTAAGCCACAATGATGGCCTCGCGGGCACTGAGGCCTCCAGCCGCGTACGCCGCCGCAATTTCGCCGCTGGAGTGGCCAAGCACTGCGGCCGGGCGGATCCCAATCGAAGCGTACAGGTCTACCAAGGCGATCTGCAGGGCTGTGGACAAGGGCTGCGCGAACTCGGCCTCGTCAACACGACTCTTCCGTGCAGGTTTGCGGAGCTCTTCGTCAATGGTCCACGATGGAGCCAGCGGGCCCAGGTCTTGGAGTGCCTTGTCGAGGGTTGCAATCGTGTTGCTGAAGACGGGACTGGTCTTGGAACGGAGGAGCTCGTATCCCATTCGGGCCCATTGAGCTCCCTGGCCCGTAAAGACCATGACAAGGGAGGGTCCTCGGTTTTCTTGGGCTTTGTCGGAGGGAGCGGGGGCGGCCAGCGTGGTACTGTCACTCGTGCAGACGGCGAAGGTACGATGGGGTAGATGCTCGCGCCGATTTGCAAGGGTGTAGGCCACATCGGCCAGCAGCTCTGGGTTTTTACCAAGGTACGCCTCATACTTCTCGACCATGGCCTTGAGCGATGCTGGGGTATTGGCGGAGAAGAGCAACAGATGCGGTGTATTTGGCGCTGCTCTACTGCTGCTGGAGTCGACCTTGCGGGCCGCATTGAAGCTGGCCGCCGACTCGACGATGGCATGAGCGTTGGAGCCCCCAAAGCCGAAGCTACTGACGCTGACACGCTCGTCACGATCTTCCGGCCATGGTGTTGGTTCTGTGGGGACGATGAGGTCGCATGGGATGGCGGGGTTCCGTGGGAGGGATTTGATGTTCGGGGGAATGGTGCGGTGCTCCAACGCCAGGACGGCCTTCAGAATGCCCACCAGGCCAGCGGCACCCTCTGCATGGCCGAGATTTGCCTTGACTGACCCAATGTGGACTCCTTTGGTGCCGAAGCAGGCAGACACGGCCGCCGTTTCAATGGGGTCGCCGGTTGTTGTGCCCGTGCCGTGGCACTCGAAGAAGCCGGTTCTCGTAATGTCGGCGATGCCAGCATTCTGGTATGCTTGCCGGATGACGGCTTCTTGCGCGTGGGAGCTGGGCCGTGAAACGGTCGGTGTGTGACCGTTGTGGTTGGTTGCCGCGCCGCTAATCACGGCCCGGACCGGGTTGCCGTCCCGAATGGCGGCCGCCAGGGGCTTGAGGAAGATGGCGACGACGGCCTCGCCCCGCGCGTAGCCATTCGCATTGGCCGAAAAGGTGTTGCACGAGCCGTCGGGGCTGAGGACGCCTTGCTCCGTCTCTGCAGCGGTCAAGGCCGGGGCCATGATGATGTTGCTGCCACCGACGATGGCGGATGTGCAGTCGCCGCGCGACATGGCCATGCATGCCTCGTTGACGCCGATGAGACAAGAAGAGCAAGCCGTCCGCACCGTCATGCTGGGCCCATGCAGGTCGAGCTCGTGCGAGAGGCGGTTGGAGACCATGAAGTCGTGTGGGCCCAGGACTTGGTAGATGCCATGGGCCTGTGTGTCGCGCACCGAGATGTCGTACCAGTCCTGGCCGTAGTTGCCAACGTACACGCCAATGTTGGAACCCTTCCAGCCCGTCTCGCCCGAGTCATCGAGCGCCTCACGGGCGACTTCGAGAAGCATGCGCTGCTGGGGATCAAGTGCCGCAACCTCGCTGCGAGGCATGGAAAAGAACGACGTGTCCAGCGCGCCCAGGTCGTTGGTAGCATCGAGAAAGTACCCCTCCTGAGCAATGACGGTGCCGGGTTTCTTGTCGGGTGAATAGTAGGCCGAGATGTTGTAGCGCGAGGACGGAACTGGACCGCGAGCGTCGCGTCCAGCGTAGAGAAAGTCCCACAGCTCCGAGGGTGAGTGGATGCCTCCCGGTAGTCGACATGCCATGCCGCAGATGGCAATAGGCTGGAAGCGGCTTTGTGCCTTGTCATCGCCTGTTTCATTTGTATTGGCGCTGTCCATGTGGCCATTTGTGTGGCCATTCGTGTGGCCATTCGTGTGGCCGTTGGTGTAACCATTCGTATGGCCGTTGGTGTGGCCATTTGTGTGGCCGTTCACCCCATTCGCACGTAGCGTGCCATTCGTCGGAGTGTTTCCTGTGCCCGTGGCCCCGTTGGTTTGGGTCACATCGTGTTGGTCAAAGTGATTCGTCGACCCATTGGTCCCTTTGGAGTGGCCGTTCATTGTGGTCTGAGTCTCTGCCCAATTGTCCTGTAATCATCCGTCTTCTTGAGTATCTACGTGAGAAACTCATGCGATTCTCAACGTCGTGATCATCTACATGCACGGCTGATAAAAGAGAGGATTGTCATATATGCATCTCTGAGCAGTGTTCGGATTTGGAGTCTGGCTCGTGGCAACCGCTTCTACTAATGGCGCGTTTTCGAAGCTCGAGCACGCACCCTGTCACAGAACACATCGTGAAGTTCTCGAGAGCTGGCGGACTCCGGACACCCCTGCTTCAGAGTAAGGCCAGGGATATGTCGAGATTGTGCTTACTATGTCGTACAGTAGATTGGCGATGGTGCAGGTAGTAAGATCGGAATGGAGCCGATGATGCGTATAGTCTGAGCTTGGCCTTACTAGGCGCCGTGCCTGTACAAGGGGAATAGTAATTGTGATCCTTGAGATATTAGTGGACAAGGAATCCAGATCAGGCTAGCATAGTAAGCGCATCAATATGCAGCCACACAACACTAAGCACACCAGGCACGTGTATTTTTACCAGGCATCCATGAATATGCAACTCTACCCCGGTACGCTAATTTGCAGGGACACGTCAGGGGGATCCCGCCTTCCTAAAAGAGTAGAGGAGCGGGACATCATACCTAGGTAGGTACTCGCGCAATTTCCAAGTCCGTCCCGACATACGCCCGTGAGAGTTGCTCAACTGCTGCATTGTCTCCATTTGCGTTTTTCGGTGAACGTGTCGTTATTCCCATTTGCCAGACCGGAGCAACATGTCTCCGATTCCGTCTCACCTACTATGATTAGATCTACGCTTCTAGTATTTTCTGGTCAACAACCGCGAATCTGCTACTGTTCTGTCACTGCCCTCACATTCCGTTACACCGTCCATCTTTGCTTCCGAACCACGGTCTCTGATCCCCGCGAAAATGGACTCTGGGATGGAAAAAGGCGTGAGCCGCGTTGATGACGGTCCTGCGTCACAGACAGAGCCGGAAGCAAATGCGGCACAGCAGAACAGCGCCACACAGCCGCGGGAAAGAAAGCATTATTCTTTCTACCTGTCCATACTAATGCTGTCTATGATTGCTCTAATCGTGACCTGGGATGTAACGGCTCTGTCTTTGGCTTTACCTGTATGTCTTTCGTCCAGCGGCATAGCATTAGCGACAACCACGCCTGACTGACTACGAAATCGCGCAGGTCATTGCCGACGAGCTACATGGAACCAACTTCCAATCATTCTGGGCCAGCATAGCCTATATCCTCGGCATTGCGGTCACTCAGCCCATCTATGCCAGTATCTCGGACGTGGTGGGCCGCAAATATGCTCTCTACGCCTCCATTCTCCTCTTCGGCATCGGATGTATTATCTTTGCTACCGCAACAGAGATGAACGTTATCGTCGCTGGCCGGCTGATCAAAGGTCTCGGTGGTGGCGGGCTGGACGTCTTACAGACCATCATCCTCTGCGACATCACAACCCTTAAGGAGCGACCGCGGTGGCTGGGAGTTCTGTCCATGGCAAATGCGGTGGGAGCTGTAACCGGGCCATTCATTGGAGGTGCATTTTCCGAGCAGATTGGGTGGCCATGGCTTGGCTGGATCAACCTGATCACAGTAGGCATCACCTTTGTGCTGGCATTCTTCTTTCTTCACTTGACGCCCATCGAGGGCGACATCAAAGACAAGATGAGAAAGCTTGACTGGTCTGGATTTGCCCTCTTCACCGTCATTGGTACCGCGGTAGCGCTGCCGCTGAGCTGGGCCGATACGCTGTATGGCTGGGGATCCTGGCAGACTCTTGTTTCCCTCATTATTGGACTATTGCTCCTCGTTCCGTTTGCGTTTGTTGAGAAGAGGGCGGCAGTGCCCATGATTCCGTATCAAATCTTCGACAACGTCTCCATCATCACAGGCACTGTGTCTGGATTCCTCTACGGCTCAATGATGAACGCTATACTCCTTTATCTCCCGCTGTTCTTCCAGGCGGTATACCTCCAAACTCCCAGCGAAGCCGCCAAGTCGACTCTTCCACTCTGCTGCCTACTCGTGGCCATGAGCATCATTGCGTCGTTGCTAATAGATTGGAGTCGAAAGTATCGCATTGCGATGTGGGCAGGCTGGAGCTTCATAACCATATTCCTGGGCCTGAACTACACTATAGGCGGCAATACCAGCAGAGCTCAAGCTTATGCCTTCCAAGCTCTCCTTGGAGCTGGTCTGGGCACGGCTCTCGCATCAACCATGATAGCGGTCCTGGCGAGTGTGAGAAGGGTCGACGACGAGGGACTTGCCGTCGGGATGCTTGTCACTGTGCGTTTCGTAGGCTCCTTAATAGGTTTAGCTATTTGTTCGACCATCTTCAGCTCGATATTCCAAAAAGGTCTCTCCGCGCTCAAAGACCTACCTGAGCAACTTGCAATACTGGAAGATCCAAGCCAAGCTGTGGGTTTCATACCTCGACTGAGGGAGATCAAGGTGTCAGAGGATATCATGCAGGTCGTGACGGGGGCCTATGAGGATGCTTTCCAGACCATCTGGGTGGTGTTGGCTGCCTTTTCGGGTTTGGGAGCGCTGCTCTCGGTGCTGACTAGAGAGCATTCTCTGGAGAAGGACGATGTTGGTCGGCAGGGGTTCAAAGCACCGTCGTCAGAGTAACTCATTATGGATTGTATTACATCCAATCGAATTCGCCTTGAAACGATATGCCTTGATAACTCCAAGTCTCAAATTCTGCACATCATGCATTCATCTATCTAGTCCGAAGTTGTCGAACTCCGCTGCTGTTGAACATGTTGAACACACTCGAGATAATAGCCCACCACATCCCGGACCTGTTGCTCATACGGGATGAAGTTAATCCCGAGAATTCGAGCCGACTCGCCCGCATCCACCTTGAAAACGTACGAAGGCAGACTCCCATTATTGGGCAACGTACTGCCAACGTGCTCCGGGAAGTTGCGTGCTACAATCTCGAAGCAGTCGTCAAGCTTGATTCCCGCCACGCCTCCCGAGCTCAATATGTACAGTCGATTACCAGGGATTGCTGGGTTTAAAGCACGAATGTGCGCTTCGGCCACATCGTCAAGATGCGCAGTTACTCCTGCCTCCATGGGATATGCTCTGCCAGTGACGGGCAGGAGAATGATGCGATTTGTCCCCGTCTGCAATAGTTCCTCCGGGTCGGTAACAAGCTCGTTTGGGCCGAAGACGTGCCCCGGTGCTATGTGCACAAGATCAAACGAGGGCTTTTCTGACTCCACCCATTGTTCAGTCAAGTTCAGTGTGCTTACTTTGGCGGCAGTGTAAGCTTCAAACGGAGAACTGTATGGGGGTTGTTGGATGTTCGTGGCTCTTGTCGACTCGGTGTGGATAGTCTCATCCGTGTCTGTGGCATAGTCGAAGAGTGCGGCAAGCGAATTTGTAAGGATGATGCGTTTGACTGTGTGATGTGCTTTTGCCGAGGAGAGCAGATGTAGCGCCGCGTCCGTTGTGGCCTTGAAGTAATGCCTTGCTAGGTCTGCCCCGATCGATGAGGGAACTGTCGAAACGATGGGGGCCGCAACATGAATTACGTAGTCGACGTCTTGGAGGGCCTCATCAAATGCTCCGGGTATGGAAATGTCCGGAATTTCCACAAAGGTTAGATTGGTCTCCGAGCCAAGGTCCCGGACCGAAGGTGCGTTCAGGATTCGTGCCTTCTTGTCAAGAGTTCGTAAGGCGACCCGGACTCTATAGCCTTTGCGCAGGCAGAAGACTAGGACGCGGAATCCTATGAGTCCGGTAGCCCCGGTCAAAAGTACAAGTTCTGAAGCCATCTGATTTCATGAATCGTGAGGTCGTGTAATGTCACTGAAATGAAAGTTCGGCGCACTTTGCAATTCGGCTTGCCGATAAAATTTGACTTACGAACGGCTATGCGAATGTTTTTATATTTTCCTATAGCTGACTGTAGTCTAGTAAGCAATGTCAAAGAGCCTTCTTCGCCAAGCTAATGAGGTGTAGGAGGGACTCCACCTTGCATGACTTCCTTTGTGCCAACAACGAAGGAGATGGGAGCATGGCTGCAAGGTCGAGGGTGAGATCAAATTGCCCCTATATACTTGCTCTTCGTCGCGAGATGATGCAGTACCTGTAGAGCTTCGTAATTCGTTCTTCTTTATACTGACTAGCTACTTTTATGATCCTGAAAAATTCGTCCCGAATCCGCCACCGGCGCCTAGAGGTAGATCAGTATGCTCAAGGAGTAGTTTAACAATATCCGATCTGCCGTACATAACAGCCCGCTGCAAAGGTGTGAAGCCCTCACTGTCTTTCTCATCAACTATGACCCTTTCGTCCTGCAGCAACACTTTGATGGTATCTATATGGTTCCCCGCAACCGCCATATGTAGCAAAGATGTGGATTGTCGGCTTTTGTTGACCAATTCAGCCATGTCAAAAGCAAAATCATCGTACGTCGTTGGAGAAAGTTCGGCTGAACTCAGTGGCAGTATCCCAGTCGACTTGATTGAAATTCCACCTTCCATTGGGAGACTTGGTGCAGGGGTTACGGGCTCTGCAACAGTCCTTTGGCTCGTGGCCGGCGCCCAACCTTCCATCTGCTGCCGTGTAGCTGGCCTTGTGCTGGTTGCGGATTGCTGTTCCATTGGAGCTAGGCAGATTTGCTGTTGCTGTTGCACTTGCACGCGGCTGAACTGAGAGTCGTTTGGAAGTGACACAGGATACCGTTCCTCGCCTGGTGCTACTGGCGGAGTAGGCTGCTGTGGAGGACACCAGGCTCCAATGCCCCGCTTGTTGTGCGGCAGTAGTGATGGGCTGTTGCTCTGTTGATACGCGCAATCTTCGTCTTGTGCAATGTGTAGGCGTAACTCCTCATACGTTCGAAGTTGTTCCTTTAATTCTTCGATCTTTTTCGCTCTTTCGCGCATGTTACGTCCTACAGCCGCACTCAAGAGTCAGCATCTGATGCGTTGGAATATTCATCACTGCGATGATTAAGCTGCATTGCCCAGGCACGGGAGACGTACTATAGGCGCGCTGCGCGATGCGATTTTGAATCTTCCTTCGCTCCAAGGGGTCTCCCACTCTCCTCTTATATTATGTCAGTGTCATCTGGAGACATAGCATTCATTGGTCGAATGTACCCAATCTTCGTCAGGCCTCATAAGATCTGCGTCCTGCATAGTCGAATATGTGCCCAGATCGGACAACAGCCGGTTCTCCGCGATTCAGTGCACCGAAGGTTTGTTTAGGTGAGATATTTTGTGTCACCCACCAATTGTGAAGATCCGAGAGGCGGACAGTTGTGGGAGTACGAGGCTGCAAACGCGGGGGTCTAAGGGAAGAAGTACATACGTTCAAACTTGAATATAGCCATGGCGCCATACGCGAACCACTAGCTTTACTGGCGAGCGGGAGCGGGCCTTCCTTTACGAGCAAAGGAGGCATCGCCTTCCAGGATGGCAAATAATCAATGAGCATCATCTACGAAGCACTCTCCCTGGCCCAAAGAAACTACACTACTACACAAAGAGAGGTGCATACTTCCAGTAGCGCATTCGTGTGGGTGGTTGGGAACTGGCGGGCAATGATCAAGGCCAATCGGAGCCTTAACCGTGACCCCTCCTACGGAGCACCGTGACCTTCTGCCGTAACATGGCCCACAAAATATGGACGCAAAACTGCAACGATCGTGATTCCAACGGACGCATGATTCGGGAATCGTTGGTTGGCAACGTTGATGCAGGACCGTGTGGTTCATGCTTTAGAGATGCCGTATTCGGCTACACTAATCCCATTTGGAGAATTAGGAGAGATGAGGATTACAGCATCTAACTATCTACAACGTCGATAAGCGAGTTAGTAGGCACACACCCTGCATCTTCTACCTCGAAGATTAGCATAAAGGATCAAGTAAGTTCTGCTTGTCTAACTCTTATCCTATGTTCGAGATTCGTGGAAAGTTGACATTAGGTTAGTATTAGGTTAGTGGCGTCTGCATCAGGCATGCTCATGGGAGCTCCATAGGCTCTTAGTGTATAATAACCGTATCACCACAAAAGGGGCATTCGAAATGAACGCAGTTTAGGAAATTAGACGTGAGTGGTTTCATCCGTTTTATCGACGAAAGGAGACTGTCCCCAGGACAAATGCATGCAAGGTGCATAAATCCTTCCCGCGGACCGTAGTTCATCTGATTCCGGGCTAGCGTGTGGGAGAGAGGAAAAGGTACTATGTAAAAGCCAATCGATGTTTGGTGGAGCAAGGGGGCATCGCCGAGTCTAACTTATTATGATAGCTGGCCCAGGGTAATGATGCTTAGGTATATAAGCCAGCTCCTTATCGATCCTTCACAATCCTTTGTGCTCCTTCCCGGGTTCGCTCATGTCTTCGTAATGCTTCGTAGTCAGTGGCAATCCTTCACAATGCTTCGCAATTCTTTCTGAATGGCCCAGATTCCTCTCTAATCCTATTGCGAATGTTTACTCCGATGCTACACAGTACAATTCACCACCCACAATATCTACCGACAGCATTGTACGGCTGCAAGGCGGAAATGATCATATTGAGCCGCAGCGACATGGTCCGTACACGGAGTACGGAGTCACGGGGGGTCGAGTTGCGCAAAAGTGACAGGAAAGGCCAATTCGATCATCTACTGAACCATGAACATCCCCCTTGCGCTTCCTCCGTAGGTTGCATTACCTGTTCAGCTCAATTCAATAAGGTGCGAAATGTTTACGCTATTGGAAAGCTAGGCTTTAAGCATAGTTATGCCTGGACAAAGAGCTGTAAAGCCTATTGCAAGGGCCGTCGTATTCCCTACAACTCCTCGCTGTTTAATTTGATGTGGAAAACAGTAGTACAGAAGAAGCGTACAGGGGTGTTCAGTCGGACATGGAAAACTGCAGTACAAGCACTAGTGGCTGAAGGGCCTGTAACCCAAGCGGCCCATACAGCAGGGTTGCCCTCGTCATAATGAATCTGTACTCCGTACCGCTGCGGCATGGGTACGCTGCAACAGAACATGGTGTCAGTTATCTGTGAAGCAGCTTCCAAATGTTGAGTCCTCTCCACGTGCAGGATCCTGTCTCGTGAGAGCTGATCACACCGTAACTCAGGTTGGCGGTCCGTCTGGATGTCCAACAAGCAGCCATCGTGTCCAAAACGGGCCCCTTGCACAGTTTACATGAGTCCGGGCTGCAACATAAGCACAGTGAACAAATTTGTTTCGACCATTGAAAACTATGGCGAAGGCTTCTTCCAGAGTTGTGTGCTAAGGAAACGATTTCAAAGACTGCTTACAAAGCGAAAGTCTCTGGCCTTTTGATCGACCAGTTTGCTGCGATGGGGATTGAAAAGAACATGAATTGGGTCGTGCTCACCCACCATAGCGCGACATACCGCTCTTGCAATGGCTGGGGCTTGGGCAAATCCTCCTGTGTTGTTTCCGCCAGTTATAATGAGATGCCCACCAGTTGCAGTGGGAATATCCTCAAAGATGCCCAAACCTGTACAAGTGAACGGCCGAATGCAAAATTTCCGTTCTCCATCCAGCCACAGTGTACCCCGCTCCTTCGCGCGCTGATATCCCGCAGGGAAGTATGTGAGTGCCACCTCCTCGAGCTCCTTGAAAAGTGCTTGCAATTCTGGAGACTCCAGTGAGGGCCAATCCAACCCAACGTACCCGTATCCGCCGCCCAAGATGAGAATGTCTTCGCCCGTTTTGACATCTTTCGATACAGTAACATTGATGTCTTCGACAAGGTAACCACGGCGATGGATTTTGGTGGAGTTTCGTAACATGGGATCCAAGTTGGGAATCTTCAGCCACACGCCCAACACACCTTGCAGGAGGTTCTCCGAGGCCGTGCCGTCAAGCAGTCCATTTCGCGCGACCCCTGTGCTTATCACGAAATTATCCGCTTGGAGAGCCCCGAGCTGAGACTCCAGCGAAGTCACCTCACCAGAGGCGTTATGTCGAATTCGCTGCACGGGGCAGTTCCAGCTGAATTCTCCACCGAGCTCAAGAATTCGATCGATTAATTTGTTCACGAACGAGTGAATACCGAGTGTAAATCCTTGTACGATGAGACCACCGGCGAGGTCATTGAATCTGGCAGCCGCAGAAAACCCGGTATTTTCTTTCAGAAGCTCTGCTTGGGAAAGGTCCTGAACGACCACCCCAAGGTCTCGGCTCAGCTCATAAGCCGCAGCAAGAGCGGTTTCTTCCGCATATAAGCGTAGAATGTCGGTGTGAAGCGAAACCCCTTCGAAGAGCTGCGGAGCGCGGTCCATGTATTCAGTCCAGAGCTTTCCAGCTTCGCGGTTGACATAGTAAATATCTTCTTTCATAGCCTGCGCCAGCCAGATTGGAACTTGCTCAAAAGCATTGACCCAAGCTTCCTCAGCAGCACTGAAACTCAAGGGTGATTTCACACTCCAGCCGCCATTCAGAGTAGTCTTGCGAAAAATATGCCGCATATTATGATAGATGTCGCTACCTCTCTCATTGTAGTTATCCGCTTCGGTATAGCTGAACATACGAGCGTTGCCGCCTGCGTGTGTGGCACCGAGGAGAGTCCAGTCCTTGCAAGTACGGGGGTCTGGGCCGGCGTCTACGATTCGCACTTGAAACCCGCGGATAGCGAGAAACTCTGCCGTCACAAGATTCATGATTCCCGCTCCAACAATTAAGACCGTCTTTTTGGTGTCGTGGTCAAGGGTGACTCCGTTGTGTTGAACTGGGCCGCGGGCACAAGCGCGAGCGTAAAGCATCTCTCCTTTTCGGAGAGTCGAAATCACCCATGACGACGCGCGTTGCTCCTCCTTGGATATCGCTTGGATCTCAGCCACGCGGCCCTTGGAAAGGTTCTCAAGATTAGGTATGAACTTGGCGTCGTTTACCAGGAGCGTTTTCGGTGAGTTCCAGTTCCGGTCTAACCACTGATCCATCAGCGCCTCAGTGACTTCGCCGCCCTCGCATATCCAGACATCTATAACATCGCGTCCGTTGATTTGCGAGGAGAGTCCGGAGTGGTGTTGGCAGAAACAAACGTGCGAAGTGTCGTCCCCGAGCACAGAACGGAATTCTTGCACGTGAGTACTGACGAGGAACTTCATTTTGAGGCTGGTTCAGGTGAAACGATGAATGTATTTTTTACAAGTTAACCATTCTGGTAGCGGCCATTTAAAACTCCGCATATCTACTATCCGAGACTTTCCACGTCGAACTGAGCATTCAGTTGTCGCAGGGGTATGGCATAGACCGTGATTGGCTCGAACGCGCCTCTGTCGAGGTAGAATAAGCCTCAAAATGGAGCTCTACTAATGGCCTAATTAGATCGTAGCCAATTGAGTTGCGTTGACGAGGTAATCCAACCTACAGAGGAAGGGCCCAGCGGTGTCCAATCGTATGATGTGAAAAGGAGTAGTAATGCAACGCGCCACTCGAACTTTGCTCTGATTTGCGGAGCTGTGATGCTTACTATCCATTTTTTACTGAGCTTAGTGAGCCGTACTAAGCAATAAATGGATCGCTCCGAGTAGGCTTGATGGCAATCACCAGGCTTTCCGGGCGCTATCTGCCGACTGGTTTGAATCAGCTTTCTTTCGATATAGTATAGCAATAGAAGCAATGTCTTCCTCTACGAACCCACTGCCGACAGCATTGGCTGGTACTGGGAGCACACAAAGTGACTTGGCAATGGCGATCGACCACCTGGAAACAACCGTCGTCGACCTCTTCGATGCCTGGGCGACGAGCACACCAACGGCCACTGCAGTCGAGTGGAACGGGCAAAGACTTACTTTCGCCGGCCTACGAGACGCATCACTCCATGTCAGCAAAGCTCTGTTGTCAGTTGGCGTTAGATCCGGCGACAAGATTCCCATCCTTTCCCAGATGTCGCTGGAGCTGCTTCCCGCAATCTTGGGCGTTCTCAGAGTTGGCGCTTGCTACGTGCCCATTGATATGGCAGCCTGGAGCAAGGCGAGAATCGACGCTACGCTCGAGGATATCTCTCCGCAAGTGGCCATTGCGACCAGTCAGCCGGACACACGACGCGTGCCAGTGATTGTATTTTTTCAAGAGCGATGGCTTCAATCGCCGTTCGACGACACAGATGATACTTGCAGCCAGCTGGACGCTATCCGCCGGAGTCTCGACACAAAAGCACTTGTCTATATCACCTTTACGTCTGGGACCACGGGAAAGCCAAAGGGGGTGATGATATATCATCGAGCGCTCCATCAGTTTGCCGCACTGAACACAGATAATACTCTTGACATAACCCCTGGCGAACGTGTGTTACTGGCATTCTCCATCTCGTTTGACGGTAAGCAAGCCTTCAGACCACCCTCAGCATGAAGATCCCCACTAACACTTACCCCAGCATGTGCTGCCACTATCTGGGTAACACTCACAAGGGGCGGAACCTTGGTCATGGCTTCATGGTCTACGTTCCCTGAAATTGCCACTACCTGCAACACTCTGATACTAACGCCGTCCATGTTGGCCACGTTGGATCCAGCCGGACCCTATGACAAAGTCCGCACTATCTATTTGGGTGCCGAAGCCGCCAACTTTGACATTGCGCGTCAATGGATTACGCCTACGCGGGAAGTCATCCACACCTACGGTCCATCAGAGGCGACCATCGCCATCTCTTACGGGAGAGTGCCTGAAGGGACGGAGCCTGACCTGGGTGTAATCAATCCTGGAGTGGACGTCTTTCTTGTCGACGAAAATTTGCAAGAAAGCGATATTGGTGAGATATTGATAGGCGGTCCATGTTTGGCTGCGGGATACCTGAATAATCCCGAGCTCACAGCTAAGAAGTTCATTGACTGGAATGGGAAACGCGTGTACCGGACTGGTGACTTGGCACGGAGAACCAAAAATGGACTATCATGGGTGGGGCGAGCGGACCGCATGGTAAAGAACCGAGGTTTTCAGGTCAACTTGGAGACAGAAGTGGAGTCGGCCATGCTACGCTTCACCGATGTCCGAGCAGCTTCCGCTTTCATGTGGCGTGGTAAGCTTATGGGATTCGTCCAGCCGGCGACTGTCAATCTCGAGGAGCTGCGGGCATTCATGAGGGAGAACTGTGACCCGTTTGTGGTCCCGGACGAGATCCTGGCGTTGGACCAATTCCCTCTCACAGCACATGGAAAGGTCGATCGAGCTGCCCTGAACGCTCAGTTAGAAGACAGAATGTCCAGAGAGGACACAGATCTGGACACCATTGTCTGCACCTCCCCCTATGATGCGCTGCGGTGGGCTTTCGCCAAGTGCCTTCAAGTTCCTTTCAGAGATCTCGACAGGACATCGTCTTTCTCCCGACTCGGAGGCAACTCGCTGGCGGCTATACGCCTGTCAAAGTTTTTGAGGCAACAAGGTTACGACATCCCCATCTTGCACATTCTCAGGGGAGACACCATCGACTACTTGGAAGAGAAGCTCACAAAGATCGACGAACAAAATGCGGCGCCGGACTCCAACGGTACACTGCAGACTGAGTCTGAGGCAGTGCCAGCTACCGACATGCACAGAATTATGCTGACCCAGTCTCAACGTAACCCGATAGTTAATTGCCTGGTAGGCAGAGCCAAGTTCGCGGGGCCACAAGATTCGATCCCAACCCCAAGCGAATTGCAAGTCGCCTGGACCGCCACTCTTGCGGCCCACAGCATCTTCAAAACACGATACGACATGCAAACTTGGACGCTCCATGACCTTGACCGTGTCAACCTTGACTGGGAAGAAGTCAGCGTCGACGCCGAAGAGTTTGACAACGCTCTCTTGTCCGTTGACGAGCAGCTTTGGGCACATCAGCACAGTCTCCAGCGTCCCAGTCTCGAGGTTCCATATTGCCACATTACCTGCGTCTACGCACCCAGCCGCAAGGCCATAGGTTTCGTCTGGCGTATACACCACGTTCTCGTGGACATATTCTCATTCATTATCCTCATGCGTGACTTGGAGCGAGCTTTGGCGAACGAGAAGGTGGCACCCGGACCTCGCATTCAAGACTACTCGCGCTTCATGCAAAAGTACAAGAAAGACAAGCTGGGTACAGCTACCGAGTTCTGGACGCGCATGATGAAGCCGCTTTGTGAACGGTCTTTGTTTGACTTTCGACCGCCGCAGACATCCTTTGTGGGCAACGCCTGGCGGGGTCTGCCATTCACAACTCGGGAGACTGTGGAGTCCATTGAGGCGTCAGTGCGCTCGTACAACATCTCAAGCGCGACATTAATCTTCGCTGCATGGGCACTAGTTTTGGATAAGTACACGCGCTGCAGTTTTGTCTCATTCTATCTCAGTCGCTCCGGCCGCATGGTCCCTTGGCCGCAAGCACCCTCGCTTGTAGCGGCAATGAACTGCCGCGTACCGTTTGCCACGGGCGTTCCTGCAGAAGCAGCCGTACATGAATGGCTGGCGGAGATGCACAGTACGCTACTCACTGTTGCGGAGCTTGAAAATCTGTGCCAGTCACTTGACAGATCGATTTATCCCGAGGAGTATTTCAAGACGGCTGTGCAAGCTTTTCTCTACATGCCCGAGTCACCGGCCAGCTGGGAGGTTCACGACAGGCTTACTGGTCAGGCAGACCAGATAGGGATGGTCTGGAGAGTTCAGCCAACAGGTAATGGGGCTGTTGAAGCCGTGCTGGAGATTGACCAGAGAGTTGTGGACATTGAATGGGCCAAGGAAGTGGGCACAGTCGCTGTGCGGATGCTTGAGGGGCTGACAAATGCCCAGAGGGGGACCCAGTTGCGACATCTGACTTGAACCATGAATGCGAACCTGTCCTGTATCAAGTATTTTGCGCTTTTATGTCGCATGGTTGAGATCATCGCGTAGAGAGAGCGGAAGCGTGCATGTCGTCGCCAGTAGCCTTAACTCCACGAAGGAGCGGAGCACCGGCCACTGCTATGGGCAACTGTGCATTCAATCGAGTGACACGGTGCTCCATTGACGACTGCATGTCTCCATAACTGTCAGACCTGCTGCGAATATTTGAGTGTACGTCCGTCTTAGAAGGCAAAATCTGCTTGAATATCCCCAGCCTTCAAGCAGCGTCCCTCCCGCCAATGCATGAATATCTTTGGGTTCTGTGTCCTTATCTCTTTGTAATGGTACCGACACCCAGAAGTTAGAGCAATGGCGACCGCAAAGGACACGGAGGCTGCCGCAGCGATATCAGGACACACAACAAACACCACAGGTTGCACATGCTCATTGCGTGATAGCCATGTATATACGTCACCTCTTCCCAGATATAAGACATCAAGCATATAACCCAACCAGCTGCTATCACAGAACCTTCCCTCTTGAGCTATGATTGCCTAAGTCTTGCATTGCTTCTCGGAATAGGACTTGACCAAGGCAGATTCTAGAGTGAGCTACTCGCCTGCTGATCCCTCACCTCTTGGAGTGATCTAATCTGTCTCCCATCGGCGTCAAAGTTGGTCGCAAGCAACCACGTTTGCAACACTCTTTTGTTTAGTGGCCACTCCTCGTCTAACATACTCAAGCAATCCGAATCCCGACTGGTGCCCCACCGGGTTACATTGTCCTTGCGAAGCGTGCCTTCATACTTATAACCCATCCGTTCCGTATGCTTCCGAGACTTGACATTGAGTGTATTGGACTTGCACCAGACTCTACAGTATGCTATTTTCTGTGCTTCGAACAAATGACAGAGCAGGAGATAGTGCGCTTCCGTGGAGGCATATGTACGTTGCAGCAGTGGAGAGAATACAAGGTCGTCTAGCATGATGGTACGAGATGGTGGGTGAGCCCGGTAGCCCATGATTCCTAGGACAGAGGTGTGGGAATGAATGGCAGGAGGGGCCGGTGGACCGAGGTGAGACTGGGAGGCTTTGATGACATAAATAGTGAGGTCTGGATGGTCGCGCAAATAGCCGAAAATATGATTGGAAAGATCGTCCTCGGTGTAGATATAAGGAAACCCGGTAATCCAGTCGACCATGTGGTTATTCTCTGGAAAACCAAGGCCCGTAAACAGGAGGGGAATATGTGCTGGAGTTATACGTTCCAGCGTTACGTATTGACCCTTTATTGGAGCTGAGATTGATGACTGAGTGGCGGGCAGAGTTGAGCCTGGTTCACCAAGATCTGATGCTTGTTAGCGGATGGAGAGTGCGGAATTATGTAGTTCAAAATGCACCAATACTTTCTGTTGTTTGCATCGTGAAGCCCAGCACGTTGAATTTTTTCCTTTTCTTTTTCTTTTCTTTTCTTTTTTTTTTTTTTTTTTTTTTTTTTTTTTCAGATGCGGATTGAAGGAACAAGGATGATAATGCTGGATGAGAGGGCTGACATTACATGGTGCCGGCCACACACTGTCATTTAAAGTATCTGACTCTGAGTTTAATCCTTCATCCTACTTTTCCTTCCCTCCCCTCGGTGCGATCTTTCTTTCTTGCATGCGCGAGCGTTCCGGACGTGATTACGGAAGGTCAGCAAGCGTCAGTAGTGGGGCTAAGGCTGACTATGCTCAGCATCCTCTTGGAGTGCCCTCATGGCGTAATCAGAGTGTTAGCAATTAGCTTACGCTGAACAGGCAATCTAACCTACAGAGGAAGTGCAGGGGGTGCTCAGTCGGACGCGAAAAGAGGCAGTAGTAGTAAACATGTATAGATGCAAGGTGAGACAGGGCTATGTACATGCCTGTGTATAGACTAATCTACGAGTTAGTGATACATATAGTCAGAGATGGGCCCGGCATCCAGCGGTATCGTGGACGGATCCCCACTTTGCTGAGTTTATCCCGTAGCTTTGTAGTAAGCTGCACACTCCTACATTGGTGCATTTTGTTCGTCTGGAAACCTGGCATCCCAATCCTAGTAAGCGAAAAACATCACCGCGCTTCAAACCCTGTGTTGGAGGGACTCCACCGGCGACAACGGCGAAATCTGCAAGCGTTTGTGCTTCGAGATGTCTCCGTGATGAAGTCGCGATCCGCAAAAACCAATGCCTCAAGTCGAGAGGCTGCTGATATACTTGGACCCTGCCAATTCTTATCAGTTGAGCACTGCCATCGAACCTCAGCAAAACTGAACAACATCCTCGGCATTCCCATCATTTCCTGTACTCAACGGCACCAGCTGCAGCTCGAGCGTGGCTGACTGAAAAACATCAACATGTACGCCGATCGTATGCTCACGAAATGGCTTCAGGACCTCAAGCCGCGGGCTGCTGCCATGAAGGATCAACCGGTTTTCTATCGCAACCTCGAACAAGCCATGGACATTTCCCGCGCAGACCGCAGCCTCATCGTCGCCAGGCCTCGCTGGGACGACTCCGTTCTCGACTTCACTTCGAGTGACTTCTTGTCCTTCAGCCGCTCTGGCCGCATCCGCGAAGCGTTCCTCGAGGAGTTGGGTCGCCATGAGGAGTTCCGGCTCAGCGCATCGGGCTCGCGGGTCCAGTACGGCAATTACGACTACCTCATCCAGGTTGAGCAGGAGATTGCAGATTTCCACGGGGCGGAAGCAGCGTACATTGCGCATTCGGGCTTTATGGCTAACGCTGGGACGGTGGCAGCCGTGCCTTTGCCCGGCGATGCGATAGTCTATGATGATGCCGTTCATGCCAGCACTCATGAGGGCTTGAAGCTGTCGCTGGCTTCCCATCAGCTGTCCTTCCGACACAACGACCCAGACGCTCTGCATGAGGTTCTAAGTTCGCTAAAGAAGTCACATAAGGCCTTTGAGTTGGGGACCTCCTCGATCCTAATCGCGGTCGAGTCCGTCTACAGCATGGATGGGGACATTTGCCCGCTCGAGGAAATGGTCCAGGTGGCAAAAGAGGTCTTCCCCCTTGGCAACGCTCAATTCATCGTTGATGAAGCTCATAGTAATGGTGTGATTGGACCAAGGGGAGCAGGCCTCGTAAACATGTTGGGGTTAGAGAAGGAGATAGCTATTCGCATTCACATGTGCAGTAAAGCCTTGGGATCGACTGGAGGTAAATGAGCGCTCCCCATCGATACACACGAGACGTGACAAAGGCTAAACTCAGCACAATCAGGCGTTATACTATGCAACAAGACCGTTCGGGCCCGGTTGATTAGCAACGCACGTTTTGCCATCTACAGCGGCGCACCATCGTTTCCAATGGTGGCGTCCATGCGCGCTGGGTACCGTTTATTGGAGAATGGCGAGGCCGAAAAGGTAAGAACCGTCTACTTTGCTTCAAAGCCATCTAACCGCCATTCCCTTCTTAGACTTGGACTGCGTCTTGCTAACCAAGCCCTAGGGGATGGAAAAGATCCAGACCAGTGTTAGGCACTTTCTTAAAACCATCACCGCCCATCCCGTATGGGATGAAGCCGTGGACGAGGGAATCCTCAACATACCCCTCGCCGAGGACTATGAAAGTAACGAGCACCTCACTCACATCGTGCCGGTATTGACACGTCCGAAACACGAGGTGTACCTCTTCTTCCATCTGATCATCAACAACATCAACGCCTATCCTATATCTTTCCCTGTCGTTCCCAAGGGGAAAAGCCGTGTACGGCTGGTCTTTCATGCCCACAATAGCCTGGACCAAGCGGAGACGTTGGCAAACGTTATTTGCGAGTGGGCTCAAGAGATGTTGGACATTGAGGCTGGTAAGACGGATAATGTCATGCCGAGTGCAGCACGCAAGGTGTATGCTATGAAGACTTGAGAGATGTAGCTTAGATAGGGATGCAAGTTCCTTGTGTGATGCATTTCGTATCTCTTAGGCTGGATAGTGATGTGACATTGCATTGCAAAATTGGCAGCATGCCGCAAAGCTCGCAGCTAAACCCAATGCATGTGACGAGAGAGTATTATAAATTCGAGCTATTAATTTTTCGATACGTTTTGGTCCCAGTTCACTAACGGCTGGGTTATGCCGACGATCTTTCTGTGTATGCATCTGCATCCCCACTCCGTTGTGGAAAAACGGGTTAGCTGAGCCCAGAAGTGGTGGGGATGGAGCCCCAGCGTTGCCAACAGTCAGTCACGCCGTAGCTGGAGAACTGAAGCTTCTATCTACGGTGGAGGATCGCTTCAGCTCCTGACTGGACTACATAGAAACTTGGCTAATACGGCCCGTAACTGTAACGGCTTATTCCTAGGAGTTGAAGGTACGGAACGCGTAATTACGGGAGAGCTAGTAGGAACGGTAGGTTATAACGCGTACAGACTACAGAAAAATACGTACAATCTCTACAAACAAGCCTCCTCTCAAACTTATTTATCTAAAACTAAGCTAAAAAATATAGTTTAGGTAGGTGGCGCTTACTACTGCAAGCCTCTAGGGCTTATCACTGCAACTCTAACACTAAATATATGTAAGGCTCCGTGGCCTCAGGTTTCTCCTTGTTTGTTGCTTGCTGCCGCCTTCATTTGCTGCTTGTTGTTTCCTGATAGGTCTCCTTGGTTTGGTGTTTCTCCTTGTGTACAATTGCCTCAGCAATTGTACGTTGCTCAGTGTACTTAGTTAGGCCTTTGAGCCTCCATCCGATAGAGTATCTCATTCTAGTTTTAGCTCATTGTTGCTCCACAATATAAATCAGCCGTATACGACAGTTACGGCAGCCTCATCACATCTACGGACTGTACATCCTACGGCCAGGCCAATGGGCAGCTCTTGACTGCTTACTTAAGCCGTAACCCGTAGCGGGTACGGACCCTCACCGTAGTACTGACTGTTGGCAACGCTGTCCAGGAGCCCTTCGCCGCGGTGTGCTCAGCAGATCCCCCAAAATACGGGCTAGTATTTGAGTGGCTAAATGAATGTGTTGGTTAAATCCTCGACCTGAGTCGGGCCGTAGGATACGACACTTAGTCTTAGTGAGATGCAGTAAGCTAAGATAAGCCGCATATTAAGGCGGAAGCCGGGGGAATGCTAGGACTTTTCGTCATGATTAGCTAAATACATGGACAGCACTCGGACGGAGCTAGTAGAAATCATTTTTTTCTTTTTTTTTTTTTTTTCAAAAAAGATAGCGCGACAGACGATGGGGACCATCATTCACCACAACAATCGATTTAGGAGCTCTTGAAACAAACGACACCGTCGCCGCATTGGTCAATCGGACCCCATGGGTCCACCCTTGCGTATTGCCCTCCTCGAGTGCGATGAGCTGGTCGGAGAGATGAAGAGGGAATATGGCAGCATTGGCAATTTATACAGAAAGTTCCTTGAGGCCGGTGCATCGAAGCTCGAGGAGAGCGGTCTCTATGCGCGACCCAATCTCGAGATTACTTCCTATGATGTGGTCAACAAGCAAGAATATCCGGACCTCGAGAACATCGACGCAATATTCTTGACAGGCAGCCGTAAGTGACCCACCATATCTCGCCCACTTGCTCAGTGAGGCGGCCAGGCAAAGGAGCCACGCAGCTGATGTCTCATTGCGGGTGGAAGGGTATGATTCTTTCACGCCAGGGTTAAATAACTGGATCTCAAAGCTCGTCGATTTCATCAAAACAGTCCTGCAAGACCAATCACGGGTTCGGATAATGGCCGTCTGTTTCGGGCATCAGATCGTTGCTCGCGCATATGGAGTTATGCCTGAAAGGAGCAATTCCGGCTGGGAGGTCTCTGTTACTCCCATTGCACTGACAGAGAGAGGGAAGCAAGTCTTCGGACAGGATTCACTAGTATGTTCCATAAATCCATGAAGCAACGGCTCCCGAGGTGCTGGACCGTACTAATGGGAATGTCCTGACAGGCGCTTCATCAGATGCATCGTGACGCGGTTCCACGGTATCCATCGTCTGTGGAGAAGCTTGGTCACTCAGACCGCTGCGATGTGCAAGGAATCTACGTCAAGAACCGTGTGATTACCGTACAAGGGCATCCGGAGTACACTGCAAAGATTGCCAGCGAATTTCTAGATCGAAGGCGCGGATCGCTACTAGATGAGGCAACATATCAAGATGGAAAGAATCGAGTAAATAACCCGCATGATGGCGTGACTGTTGGGGCTAGCTTCTTGAAATTCTTGTTGGAAAAATAACCTATACATGCTGCCTCTTTTCATGATCGCATCCGACTGAACACCGCCTTCACTCCCTCTGTACCAATATTTTCTGCATTAGATTAAATAATTAGGACCCGTAGCGATATACCAGACCTTGCAATAAGCTTTGTAGCGCCTCTATGTACACATAATAAGCTCTAAGATAGGGCTCTACTAATAGCATTATTAGATAGTTGCGAATCGAGTTGCGCTAACTATAGTAGGTAATCTTACCCACACAAAGGAATTGCAGGGGGTTGTTTGTCGGAGGTGGAAACCCGTACAGTGAAACTTGAGTATTAGCAAGGAATTGGCATTAGCAAAACCATCGGCGTAAGCAGAAGTTTTCATCTACCGCCAAATTTTGTTAGGGGTTTTGCTTACGGCTGAAGCTAAGCAAATTGCTTACTGTGGTTGCAAGGATAAGTTTTGTATATTGCCACTGCGGAGGCCAAGGATTCTATGGATGGGCGGATTACCTGAGGTTAGCTTGGAGGGTTACATTTGTAAGCTGAAATGTATGGAAACAAAACTGCGCGATCTCTGCGCGTGTGAGGCTCTGTTTTCTCTTATGGAGATTCCTAAATAGGAAATTGGTGATAGTTGAACTTGGTGTTGCAATTTGAATTGTTTAGTACTTTGTATGGCCGCCCTAGGCAGCAATTACTGCCTCTATCCTTGCTGGCATGGATTGAATGAGTTCTTCAAGTTTGTAAGGCTTAATTGACTCCCTGTCAGATTTGATGGTATCTGAAGATATCACGGTGACAGAAAGATTGATTGAAGATGGGTTGACTGATTGTATTCAGGTGTGTGCTTGTGTGGGTGAGGCTGGGGCCTGACACCGGTTTTGATGTTCCTTCTCTGGGCACCAAGGCTGTGCAGGGCACTAGCCACTGCAGAATCACTAGCCACATGTCCTCAGACAGTACCGGTACAGACAGTTTCTCCCAGTCCTCCTCTCCAGTCCCAGATAGGATATCCATAAACTGGCTTACCATCTGACATGACCGCTTCGATGATGGCCATTGCTACGAGGACAACGGTTCACCGATAGCAGAATTTAGAAAGCGCACACCACACAGGCCTCAACTGGACGTAGAGGGAAATAACCTATGGTGCGGAAATAAGGTGTTTCTCCCGGCCGAACTTGAGCATGGGGACATATATACTTTGTACTGGACGTGGGATTTCAGCAGTGATCATATCGAGATTTACACAACCTGTCTTGATATTGAGATTATAGGGTGAGGACGAGAAAGTGTTAGGTACAGGTATATAGAAACAACAATAAATGACTATTCTCTTATCCTTCGTTCCTATCCTGTCTACCTAATTCTGCATTTCTATTCTGTAATAGCTCGAAACTCGATCATTGCGTCAACCTCTGCAAGAGATAAGCTGGTATTCATATCTAGGTAAGCATTTGATGTTACCTTCGCATATAACTGAGAACCGTTCAGGATATGTGCTTATGAAAGTCAGACACTTCTTTACTCGAAGGGAAGCAACCTACTCAGAGATGTGACGCAGCCCATGCGGGTGGGCTTTGCAGGCATTGAGCAATCTAGTCAAAGGCTGGAACCGATCTTTGGAGCGATTCTCAGTTAAACCATTTGGCGACTAGCATCGTAATGCTGTACTACAACTGTCCAGCTATAGTAACACACAATACAGTTGCACCGTGCTGTGAGATATTGATGAGAAAGGGCAGATGTGCGGGAGCAATAATTGCACACGTTTTTGTATTGATTAGGTAGGCGAACGAGTGTCATGATTGAAGGAGCCTGAGCTCGACAGACGAGGTACAGTCAAGAGCATTTATAAAGCATTGAGGATATTTGTACGCCGCAACCTATATTTTTAGTACTAGAATGAGCGCGTAAATACAGGAAGATGATTTGAAGGGCAAGATATAGGGACAACGAAGGGGCATCTGGGGACTGATAGATGCATAGCGAGGGGACCGGGCAATGCCATGGACAGCATGCTGGAAGCAAGTCTCCGGCTTGAAATCCGATGCCACGCAGGTTAGAGAACAACAGAATGCATCGTGTAGGATCTTCCATCGGAGACCTGTCCAAGATGTCCTCTCTGAATGGCACAGTCAGGATCAGGACTCACGATCGCGAGTCCACAGCCCGCTATTGTGGAACCGATAATGCTTGTGCGTTGCGTTGCGCCAAAACGCTTTCCAATTGGAACAGTGACGTGCTACGTGCAGCAGGGATCCAACGCTCCGTGCACGTTCTGCCGGTTTTGACCAGGGCTTCCATTAGCTTCTTAGGTAATTATCCTCGAGAAACTTGACCTCGGGATCAACTGGTGCGTGGAGTTCCCGCGACCGCTGAGGGTAGCTTGGCAGGTGGTGGCTGTTTGACTAACGATCGGTGATGCGCATGGGTGCTCTGGAACCGGATCATCGGGTGCATGTGGCAGTCGAAAGGTAAGAGACTGTTCGGTTGGAATCTGGATAGGAATTTTGGGGCGTTTTTAGGGCCAGATTTCATCCTTGGACAGGGCCTAAGAGTCACGGTCATAGCCAGGCGGCGATATTGCAGCAAGCATGCTCGATATCGTACAGAGTACCGTTTTGCAGGAGTAGAGTGGCACAGTGGGCTTGTGTGGGAGCCACACAGAGTCTGACCACCTGGTTCGCATATCTAGGATTGTGGCGCCTGGCTCAGAAAGCCACCCAATGGCCATCATTCATCCATTAACGATTAACTTCTGTGTGTTGGCATTATTAGGTATTGCGGTGTTGCTTTCCACCCACCAACTTGGAGTACTCCATAAGCTACTCGTGACAGCCATCCATTAACAGCATTTGCCGCTTTCAGCCACCAGCTCCCTATGCGTGGGGGTTGTCGATGCAGCCATTATTGGACCATGCCGATGCGAATCGTAGATTGGCTCTCATCCATCCATCCCCGTGTGGTCCCATAAACCCTGCATCCGAGTGACGCCAAGAACTCTATCCCAACTAACAAACCTCAGCCAACAACGCGAACCCCAAACCATGTCTCTTTGTTGCAGATATGGTGTACCACGTACGATATAAGCGCCGCTCTCAAACTCACTTCAATCAGCCTTTCCCTCTCGCAGAGTCCAAGGTCCGCACAATCATTAATACCCATATGCTTGAATCGCCCTTCCCAAGTTCACGAAAATGTCAATGTCTAGAGCCGCCCCAACCCAACGAAACGTCGCAGTCTAGATCGAAAAAGCAGAGGCTCAACCATTCGAGTGGATCTCAAACACCAGCGGCATTCTGGGACAACTTATCGAAGATCTGGTTGACCAAGCGAGCGTTGAGGGAGCTAGACCGAAGAAACAATCAAGCTGCTCCAAGGCTATCTGCTAGGTGGAAGGAAAATTGCCAAAACGTTCAATATGCTGTTGACTATCTTCGCCTCTGCAAGCCGAGGATTTTGAAAGACATAAAGTCATTTGCTAGACACGGTGGTCCAGATCTGTCGAACGTAAGGAACGTACGTATTACAACATACTTACCAGATTGCGTCAGCGCTAACAATGCTCTCCAGTTCCCCGAGCCTCTACATTCGTCGGACTACACAATGAGCTCGAGACGGTCAAGTTCTAGGAGTCAACAACGGAGTTCTGCAACTACCTCAAGCACTAAGCCTACCACAAATATGTCCAAAACAAAGAGCACTGGGGTGTATGACCGTGACTTTCACCAACACCTTGTCGATAATGCGATTTATCCTGATGCATACGAATACTCTAATGGCAGTGTACCTGCTAAGCCAAACAACTGGGAGGATCTCAAACAAAGATTGGCACAACCTCGACCGTCTCTCTCACCGTCGCAATTTTCTGATGGAGAGTTCGAGAAATTCAAACGAGCGGATGCACATGCCACCAAAGAAAAACAGGTGTCGGAATTAGTAGTTCCTATCATTGAGAGCAAGATCGGAGATCCAAAATGCCGCTCAGGAGGCATTCCATTCACTAACCTTGACCCTCTAACGGATGGCACGCTCAAGCCTGGCAACCCAGATATCTACTACGGCACCCGCCCAGAGCAGCTTAGTCGACAAATCCGCGACAAGCTTAGTGGCCATATTATCCCTTTGACACAGCACGATCTTCCCCTAGCGCCAAATTTCTTCCTAGCAGCAAAGGGGCCAGATGGATCAGCAGCGGTGGCCAAACGACAAGCTTGTTATGACAGTGCGTTGGGAGCGAGAGGCATGCACAGCCTTCAGTCACATGGAAGAGCCGAACTTGTCTATGACAACAATGCATATACTGTAACCTCTACATATCATGATGGCCAGCTCAAGATGTACACCAGCCACGTAGCTGCACCAAGCACTGCTGGAGGCCATCCAGAGTACCATATGACTCAGCTCCGATCTTTTGCTATGACCGACAGTGTGCCCACCTGTCGAGAAGGAGTCGGTGCATACAGAAACCTACGAGACTGGTGCAAATATGAGAGAGACGCGGTGATTAAGCAGGCGAACGAGAGAGCAAATCCTGTGGAAGCTGAGGCACCAACTCCTGATGCAGGCGCTAGCCCAGCTCCAAGCTTTGTGACTGCAGTGTCAGAGACAGAGGCCTACACCATGAGTCAGGAGTCTTGGACATCCCTGAATGAAGGCTCTCATATGCCTGAGGGCTTCGAGGAATCCGATACTTCAATAGAGGACGTTGTGGAGTACAAGCTCCCGGCAAAACGTTCCAGTAAGCGTTCAAAGCACCTACAGACACGGCGAAAGCGACGCAATGCAGAAGGAGCAGAATGATATCTGCCGATGTGTGAGTTTACTTCGACTAGGGCTGGCCTAGGCAGCAAAGGAAGAAATTGAGGCTTTGGGTATCAGCGACCCGTGAAATCTTGTATTCTTGATGGCAGTTCTAATTCTATCTCTTCTCCCTTATAGAGTGATCGCAATTCTCATTTGTTGGCTCTGTGAACCCTTCAACACGTCCAGGGTCTCATCAATTGCACGGCACCGACCTAGCTGCTCGTTTTCTCAGACGAGGCCAGTTAAGAGCGGAGACACAGTCCCAAAATTATCGGTTAGGCATCAGACACCAAACCTCCCTGCTGAGTTCATAGAACCTCGAGATGCTCTTATGCGTGAAACCTTTGACTAGCTATACAACGTCGAACGGCACAGTCGCCTCATTCCGTGGCTGCACAGCTTCCGAACCTGCAATTGGTGAATCGATTGGCTGCATATATTATAGAAGGGCCTAACTAAGCAAGACTTGAGGTCTATTCTCGGTGAAATGCTACAGAAATTGGCACCCCCTCTATAAGTCCACGAAGGGCAACTCCAAATTGAAATGTTCAAGAGAACAGGATCCGTGGAAAAAGAGCTGCGGAGTCTCCTCCTGTCAGATAGAACGGCCCTTCGGAGCTTGACTGAGGTTGACCAGCCATTGACTATCAATCATGAGGGAGGCGGGGAGCTGGGTTGACCGTTGTCAGATGGTAAGCCAGTTTATGGACATTCCATCTGGGACTGGAGAGAAGGACTGGGAGAAACTGTCTATACCGGTACTGTCTTTCTGCAGTGACTAGTGATTCTGCAGTGGCTAGTGCGCTGCACAGCCTTGGTGCCCAGAGAAGGAACATCAAAACCGGTGTCAGGCCCCAGCCTCACCCACACAAGCACACACCTGAATACAATCAGTCAACCCATCCTTATTCAATCTTTCTGTCACCGTGACATCTTCAGATATCATCAAATCTAACACCTCCACCCCGAACTAAGAAGGCCAACCAATGATAGCCACCCACGCCAACTCAGTTCTTGTTGTGTCCGAGGAGGGAGTAGTTGTAGCAAGCAGCTGAAGCCTTTCAACCAATAGTACAGAATGAAATTATCACACTAATAACGAAACCTTGCTCAGAATCAGGCAGCAAGTCAGGCTCAACTATGGGATCATACTGTGTAGGACGATGGGACGATGGGACGATGGGACGGTCATCCATTAACGATTTGGCATTTGCTGAAGGATTTAGCCACCAACTTCTGTGTTGGCATTGCGGCGAGTCTTGCAAGGCACCAGCTCGAATCTACCGGTAATGAGTCACGACAGTCCATTAAGGATTGAGCATTTGCCGCCCTTGCGGCCACCAACAGCGTGCACGCCATCCACCAACTTCTGTGTTGGCATTGCCGCGAGACTTGCAAGGCACCCAGCTCACAGTGCCACGCACCTTCGCTTACCGAGGCGGATTTCGTGGGACGGGTAATCTAACGACAGTCCATTAAGGATTGAGCATTTGCCGCCCTTGCGCCTCCCAACAGCTCGTGCACGCCATCGACGCAGCTAGTGGCTCATGGCAACGTCAGTCGTGAAGGCGGTGCATCTTCAGCTCGAAAATTGGAACCAGGATTTGGAAGGAAAGATAACGTTATCAGTTTTGGAATTTGAGATTTTAATACTGCTTAATACCCGCTAGCCGCAATAGTTCTAGAAAACAATTTCTACAATCCCTAAACTGGTGCGCTGCCTCTCTACCATCATACAAAGTCGCAGACACGCTAGGAAGGCCAGTAGCTGGTAGATTTCTCGTTCAACTATACAACAAACAAGCGTAGAAGTTGGCGGCCTTGCAGATCCTGAGTTGAGATTCAGAAAATGGGATTTCATTTATAAGATTATCAAGTTTGCAAGCATACATTCACCAGCATCGGTGGTTTAGTGGAACTACCAGCCGTTGCCATCTTTTATGTGGTTTGCACTCCATGTTCGCTACCTATTTTTTTTTCTTTTCGTTTTTAACAAATCAAGGTCTTGGAGTTAGAGTTCCTAAAGTTGTTTTTATCCCGGCTTACCCTAGGGTAGCCAAGACTTAGGAAACGGAATATGGATTCCGTGAAACGAACAACCAGGCAGCAAACAACACGGTCTGAGTCCTATTCCGGAATCCTGGAATCAGGCGGATGCCACGTTCTGCAGTCTCGGGATTGAATATTCGCTGGAGCCATGTAAGAGTCGGTGTATCCAGATTCAGAGCACGCATACTGCCACCCAGGAGTAGGAAGCATAGTCCAGTTGCTTCGGTGAGTTGTCAGATAATCATAGGGTTCAGATACCTACCATCGCCGCTGATGCATTCAATTGCGGTGACCATTGTCCGCTTCACGCGTGCGCCTCTATAGTCTCGCATGTCGTCCTTACCTACTAATACTTTCACTGAACCAAGCATCGAAAGCATAACGCCAGTCTCGTCCCTATTGTACACATTCTCTGCTAGGATAGCTGAGTCCTGTAGTATCCGCCCGATCACCTCAAACCAATGCATGATTTTCCAGTAACTATATGTTCTTCTCGTGGCGATTCCAGTCGAGCGCCTTGACTCTCCGCGCTTGCGTTTCCGGATGACGTTTCTCAAAGGCCCGAGCCCAATTCTTACTCGGTGGCTTGCGTGGTCGGTCGACCTCGGGTCGCTGGCGGGTAACGCAGAAGGCTATTCCTATTGAGAATGAATATCGTCCAAAACCTCCGAGGAGTCGAAAAACAATAGTAGTGATGCAGGGTTAGAAAGCAGAGATAGTTTGAGAGACTGCGAACACAATCATCAACAGCATACTCAAGCCGCCGTAATGTTTACTTTACACACTAGCAATAGAGACAGGAATAGCTTTAAAAGGTCCCTAAGTAACCATAACATTATACCGTCATGTTACCAAAAATTATAATGTTCGGAAGCTCGGTTCATTTCGGCGAGGGGTGTTTTTCGACCAACAGTGATGGACGTTAGACATTAGACAAAGCTTAGGGTTTAATGTCTTTAATCCAAGATTATCTATGCTGTTAATTGTTGTTGACTTTGTTATGATGAAAAGTGTTGGTAGGTTTCCACCACGCAGGGTTTTTCGCTCCACAGGAAGGGATGTTAGGTCGTGGCTTATAAATGGTGAATTGCTAGCTAAGGAGCTTCATGGTTCATTACACAAAAGGGAAACAATAAGAATGGAGAAAAGAGAGAAGCCAATTGCCCCAGTCTCTACTGATTCAAAAACACAGTTCCAGAGGCCAAGGTATCGGGAGATCGGGAAGAAGAGAAAGGCACGCCTTTGCCGAAGGGTGCCATGCTTTCCATGTTTCGCTTTGAAGACCCCTTTATTGGCCCCAGTTCTCTTTATAGTAGGTGTCCGGCAGACGAATACCATGGAATCTGTTGAGATATACCGCAAATTGGACCCTAGTAAATTCGTCGCCTGAATCTTTGCAGAAGGGATGCGGACATGTTATGGAGTTTTCAGGGAGACCTTCCAAATGCTTACAAAGATGCTCAAGTAGACTCTCTCTCGATAAGAATCGCCAAAGTAGTTCGCCGGTCTTGAGAGTGGCTAGACAGAAAGGACAGCGGCCAGGCCTAATCAACAAGCGTTTCCAAATAAGCACTGCGCATAATGGGTCCAGTGACGCTAGATGCTTGTTCCTATCATGAGAGAGAAAGTCATTTCTTAAGACATATTCACCGCAGTCATAGCAGTGTATTCTTCCTGGTGCCGACCTGGTGCCCCTATAAAACACCAAAGTGTGCGTGTTAGCGTCTAGGGTTGATTGAGGGAGACGCACGGAGCAAGATGTGCAATGGCCGTGATCAATGGGGTTCTCCATATCGGGGTAAGCTGCCACGAACGGCTTGGGATTTGCCATCGCAATTAGGACTGGCAGAAGGAACGTATGGCTATGGGTAGTGCTCTTTCGTTCCCATAGGACTTCTTTCACCTGCCTTCGAGCCGCGTCCACGCGGAAGATCTCTTCCATAATGGGTTTTGTAAGCACCCTACTTGGGCCAACGTGCAGAAGCTCGTCGTCTTGCTCGCAATCTTCCAATTCACCACCGAAGCAACGCTGTCTTCGTTCGGAGAGCAACCTTTGTCTGAAGACTTTTACTTTCTTTTTTCGTTCCTTAACAGTAACAACTGTAGCCACATCCTCGTCTGGGCAAGGGGGTTGGCGTAGCCCTATTAGGCCTGCCCAGGGCATTGGTGCATCTTTATTCCTCGCAAACCCAATACTACGGCAGGAGTCCATGCGGGCAGTATCTTGAGGCAAACCTCGTATTGCATTCTGAGCGTCAATACCAACATCCTGGGATAAATAGGCTTGTAGTATTCCGTCGTTTGAATGACCCATAAGCTGCCTTAACTTAGGTGCTGATGTCTTGCCTTCGATGCCATTTGCAAAGCCTCGTCGAACTGAATAAGGAGAAACAGTATCCTTATATCCACACCTTCGCCCAAGTGCAGCTAGTGCGGTACTAAGGTTCGCTGCATTCCAGAGTCTGTTTGGGCTGATTGATTTTCCCCCCGGGCCGTCCATTGCCCGAAGGACTGGCAAATTCTCCTTTTCCTGTTTAATAGGAAATTTCACGGATGTAACTGTAGGGCTTAGACACCGTTCGTCAAAGTTTATGTTGTCCCTAAAGACGTCGTCTGCGAGGGCCAAGTAGAGGAACCATCGAACCGGGCATGCGTGAGTGTTGGGTTCTTTTTCTTCGTATAGAGTAATAACTTGCCTACACTATAGTTTAGTAAGTGTTCATAATACTCTTGCAGAACAGTATGCTTACGATATACCCTCCACACCTCTCCTATGCTTGCGATTTCGAAGATTTATCTTCAAGAGATACTTGAGAGACTTGTCTTCCTGCCTGTGTAGGTAAAGAGATACATCTTTGTACAAGATCCCCTCATTTGAGTTCCAATGGTGTGATGATTCTGTAATCTTGCCTGGTCGGAGGCCGTAGAAGGAGGCAAGTAGAAGATACCATGTCATTTGTATTATCTGACGAGGATGGGTCCAGTTGTACGGGTCTTCGCACCAGAGGAAGCGCAGTATTTCCTCAACGTCGACATAGAGAGCGACTGGCTTCTCGACAGCCCGTGTGCAAGCACCCTCTCTAGAGAGGTCCTCAATAAACTAGGCCAATTTCTTAGTTTATGTTATCTAGACATTAAGCAAACCAATAACGTACCTTTCTTACTTCAAATACCTCACGTTGTGTGTAACGATGACCACTCCCATACCGGATTGCGTGGTGTAGTTGCTCAAACTCCTTCACGAGCGTTGTGATGCATATCTTGCTTGTTAGGCATCCGTGTCCCTTTTTTACTCTCCACTTGAAATATACCTTTACCTGGGGGATAGGTGGAGCGGTATCAAAGGGGTTATCATTTGGAGTGGGTAATCGAACGCTCTTAGCGAACTGTTTCCAGTAGGATTGAATTCTCTGCAGAACAGGTACCTCATAAGGTCTAGCGCGTGCCTTATCAAAGACCCCATCTTCTAGCTGAGCGGCAAGATCAGAGTCGTAGTCAGAATCGGCGTTAGAGTAACTTGACATGATGCACTCAAGAGAAATCAGGTAGCAAGGAGGAGATTCCGTAGTAGCAGGTAGCAAGGAGGAGATTTCGTGGTATCAGGTAGCAAGGAGGAGATTCCGTGGTAAGCAAGGCATATGGGCAGTTAAGTTCACATCTCCGCTGGAGAAAGCTTTGGTTGGTCTCCATCGTCGCTTCCGGAAGTGCAGGGGAATTCCCAGGGCTCTCTAGGTTTCCCGAATCCCAGTCTTGGTTTTTGGACCCTTGTTGTCTGCAATTTAAGTTCTCCTTTTCAGACCCTTGCGTACTCTTGGCGCGTGGAAATGGTATTATTTTCGATTTTCAAGTTTTACAATACTGGAACTGACTTCTACAATCCCTAAACTAGTGCACTGCCTCTCTCTGCCATACAAAGTAGCAGACAAGCTGGAGAGGCCAGGAGTTGGGATTTCGCGTTCAACTAAACGTAGAGGTTGCGAGCTTTGACGATTGCGATTTCGGGATTTATAAAAACAAAAGCTTTGATTATAAGTATCGAAATTGCAAGGACACAAACAGCGGGCAATTGGTCTAGTGGTATGATTTTCCCTTAGCATGGGAAAGGTCCTGGGTTCAATTCCCAGATTGTCCATTTTTGCCTCCGCATTGGCCGGAAGCAAACTTTTTTGGCGTGGAACCACGATCGCGACGATACTCTCGTTCTTTTTGGCCCATGTAAGACACCTAGACTTGAAGGAACGAGAAATGTGACGAAGAACAAAATTGGAACCAATCTTTGGGACGGCGAGGCGTGAGAGTTCCGAGTACGTCGAATTTCGAGGGCTGGTCGGAAAGGAAGGCAAAAGTGGGCCGTCTATGCGTAAGCTAACAAACGAACACAGTCTCGTGAACCCCGATTGTTATTCACCCTGTATTAGGATTGGACACGACTTACTACAGTACGGGCTGTTGTAAGTATGCACCGTCCCAATGCACTCCTCCAAATAATATTCGGTTTACCGACGCGAACGGAAGCAGATCTTATGTTGGAAAACCTGGCCTTCGATCTTCAGTTAGTTCGACAAGATTTTACAGCTATATCAAGGATTATTTTTGGACAAAATACCAATCGACTCCGCTTGGTGTAGTTGGTTTATCACGTTCGGCTGTAATATCTATTGTTACCGAAAGGTCCCTAGTTCGATTCTGGGAGCGGAGACACCTACCTTTTTTGCTTTTTCGTTCATTTTTCTTCTTTTTCGCTTTCCGAGTGAAGGAGGGAGGCTATAGAAAGTTCTCCAGAACCAGGTCGAAGTAGTGCGATGGAGCGTCGTCGTCCGGTGGTTCTGGCTAGGACTGACAGTACGACTGGCGTTCCCACCAGATTTACGGATCTATGGGTGGAACGAGAGATATTTCTCTGCCACTTGCGACCAGCATCCGCCGCATCTGCCCCTTTAAATCCGACCCAGCCTACACCTACGCCGTACAAGGCAGATTACCAGCCTCCGTTTCCATTCTAGGCGTATACCGTGGACCTGGCCCCCGGATACCCGCCGCGCGAGCTTTCAACCAGCGCTACGGTCACGTAGATGTGAGGCACGGCTGCCAACGATACCCTACCAGAGTCGGCTCTGTCACGGCACGCAAGCCGCTCAGATTCTGTCCGGACTCTGCCTCTGTTTCATTTAGCGCCAGGCTTGCTTGGACATCACCACCACAATACATATTAGCCTTTATATACAATCACGAAGAAAGCTCGGCATTTGTCTGAACCTTATAGCTAATGCTGGAAGGGGAATCGTGGTTCAATAGCGTTCCCGCAATCAGTGAGATGGATATTGCTGATTGCGAGTAGACTTTTATTGCGACTCTGAGAAGCAGATCGTGATTCGCATCTCTCCAACTATCTAGCTTGCGGCCGGAACGACCGCGCCGTACTGCGCCATCTAGGTTTCCTAAGACCTTACGGACTTTGTCGACTACGGCCTGTTAGTATTAACTCCGCCTTGTATGTTAGTGCTACCGCTATCTAATGCAATCCGATATATAAGTGCCTACCGCCAGCAAGCACTTAGTATGTTCATGCATCATCTGTTTGCGTCTTCTGCTACTTGCTTTCTCTGGCATACTTCTATTTAAACTCATAGACCGTTTTCTTTTGCTTTAACGATACGTTCCTATGATGGAATCAGTCTTTCGCATCCTTTTTGCACTATTACTTACTGTTCCTAAGGCCAGCGGTTCTCTGCCGTATAGTATTCCTCATCTAGGTACTTCCAAACTCGATGCCTTTCCACCCAATTGTCTAACCCAAACAAGACCGAGTCTATCGGCGCAGCGCCCTTGAAGAAACGATCACGTTTTCAATTCCAACGACACCCATCTGGGTGTTCTCCGCAAAAGCACCCCTATCAGGAGACACATTGGCAAGCACTGGCCCGAGTTCCATCACTCCGCCCATCTCAGAACGCCCTCCCTTTCCCATCCCGTCGAATGCGACGACCACGTCCTCAATAACGCGAGGTACATCGAGCGGGAGTTCCCCATCTTCTTCCACTCAGATTTCCAATCGGCCGCCTTTTCCTGTGCCGGCGAACTCCACTCTATCTGAATCTGGACATCAGGGTACGCAGAGTACCGCAACTACAATCCATCTCTCTACAGTATCTACAGCCCTCACTCTGATCTCGACCACCAGCGATTCCTCTTCAGGTGTATCAGGTCCCTCACGGTCTCACAGCACAGTATTTCACACCAATTCCTTCGTTGTGACCACTATAATATCAGAAGGATCGCAACTCGTGACAACATTTACAGTCACCTCGAGTATGTCGAGCTCCCCAGACATCAAGACTGTTACCGAAACAGCACCACCACCTCCTGTTCAATCTGATCTATTTGGTCAGCCGACGCCACCACCGCAGCAAGGTACTCCACTACCTACCCCTCCGCAACCGGGTGCTCCTTCACCTTCCCTACCACCCCCAACCCCTTGGGTCTTCGATGCAGTTATTGACGGGCAGACATACCATCTTCCAGGCTTGAATGAGCCGCCCGTCGAGGTATTACTTCTTGATGGTAGTGTTGGCGTACTCCACTCTAACAAGGTTATACTGCGCGGCCAAACATTGAATATCCCTGCTGGGCTGACATCTGCTCAAGAGATATCCGTTGGGGGTCAAACTATCACGGCTCAGCCTGGGCCATCCACTAACCTTGATCGTGGAGGTAATGGAGGTGACAACGGAGGAGGCGGTGGAGGCCCCCTTGCAGGCCTTTTCAAAGGGATCGGAAAGGCCGTTGGTGCTGCGGGTAAAGCCGTGTCAAGCGTTGCAGATGTCGGAAAAAGCGCCGTGGACTTTGCAACGGGGACCGGTGGTGCAGCAGCCGGCACCGTCGCCAACGCAATGGGAACCGCACTGGGTAACGTTAACGACGTCGTTGCTACCCTCAACGGTCTCCGACAGGTATTTCCCCTGGACCAGCTTTCCTTTACTGCACTGGGCACATTCACATCGGCACAGAACCTTGGGCGTGGCGTCTCCAACTGGCTCACTGCGACCTCGAATGCGCTTAAAGGGTTTGACAGCCTCACACCGGATATGCAGAAGCGGGTCAGAGATAACATCAATGAATTTGGTAAGCCTGGTGGAGAGGTTGAAAGAGCGGGTGAGGCGATGAGAGCGTTTGAGGAGTTTCCGTGGGACCAGGAGATTCGGCAAACTTCTGCGGTCAGTAGCGGTCAGCCTGCTGCAACTGGAACAACTGGTGCGAGCTCTGATCGAGCTTCGCCAACTCAGACCACTGCTTTGACAACGGAGAATCCTCAGGCGACAACCCAAACAACCTCAATCACCTCCTCGAGCAAACCGGCCTCATCACAACGCCCTGAACAGACGCCAACTCCACATTACATCTGGACAAAAGTTGGAACCTCCATGGATACCTTTGAACAGTTCATCCAACAGCTCGATGGGAGTAAAGGGGACAAATCCATTTTTGAAAGCTTTGGGAACCAGGTCTATCTAACCGACCTCACTTCAGAACAAGCAGCTTCATTGAAAGACAGGCATGATTTCATCATGCAAGTCTATGAGCCGTCCATTGGGGACTTGAATGATGAGGGCCCTCCGGAAGAATTCCTCGCGATTCCCACAGGCAGTGCCATGCCACCTCGCCATTCTACCCAAAGCACTTTCCAGCAAGGAGAGCAAGCTGTACAGCTTACCACATCTTCAAGCTCACGTTTAGATCGCAGGGGTATGATTCCAGCATCTCCTCAGACACCATACTGGAAAAAGATGATAGCACAAGCACCAGGGTCCTCTAGCAACCCATCACGTCCGCCTCTCTTTATAGCTGATGAATCCGGTGGTAAGGGAACGACCATATACATTCTTGACGACGGCTTTGATGTCGACATACTCGTAAGTTCTCAGTTCCTAGCCCACACAAATGCTGATATCAGAAAGGAGCTAGCATCGCAGGGACGTAAGGTAGAGCACTTCGTGGCTCCGAATAAGGACACAATACCTCCAAGATTTTTGGAAAACCATCAGCGACTCTTTCCTAACCTTCGCATTCTACCCGAAGATATACGAGGAGTCTCCGGTCATGGCACGAAGATGGCTTCCATAGCTGCCGGCAAAACTATTGGTGTTGCTCCAAATGCAGACCTCTACCTGTTGAAGACGAAAGGGGCTTTTAATAGAGGAGACGCGCCGGATCGTCCAGACACTGCCTTAGGTGCACAGGCCGTAGCCATGTTAGGGTGTCTCAATCGCATCCAGTTCCACGTAGAGAATAGGCTTAAGGTCGATAAAGATGCTAAGTCTGTTGTCAATATGTCGTTTGGTAAGCGACCTTCACGCTTTCCATGAGTAATGGCTGAGTAGCTCCAGGTTTTCCTGCCTCAGATGGCGAGTCCCAGCACATGGAAGCGGCGTTTATCGAGTTCTTCGCATGGGCGGAGAGAAGACGCATCCCTGTTGTTCTTGCTGCGGGTAATGACAATTCTCGGCCTCTCCACCAGGGCATTCCACGGAAGTGCGGAACGCCTGACAACATGATCATCACAGTTGGAGGAGTGCAGGAGGACGGATCGCTGTATGAGCAAACAGCCCCTGATATTCCGAATGAGGATGGGTCCATGACCGTTTTCGCTCCGGCTGTGAACGTTTTTGCCCCTGGAAAGGAGGAGATATGAACCCAGACCCCTTTAGGCACACTGGGACTAGTCAGGCGGCTGCTATCACGGTAGGTCGAACAACCCTCTTTGCCTGATATTACGCCCTTTAGTGACTATAATTCAGTCTGGCCTTGTTGCCTACATTTACGGCTGCATTGGCGTATGCCTAATCCACGACCCAAGCGTACCCTCGCCAGAGGAGGACATCAAGAAGTTCTTGGTCGCCCATGCATATCCCAGAGTTCCACTACCAGCAGCTCCCCCTGAAGGCTGGTCCAGCATCCCAAAACTGAACGTCGTCTATAACCTTGCAAATGGGGACACGGCGCATCCTGAATCACCCTGTGCAATTCATTTCCCAAAACGCCAAGATCAGAATGTCACGGCGTGTTCTGCAATCTCTACCCCAATATCTTCTACACTTTCGGCGAGCCAGAGGTAAGCAAAAACCAATTCTATCTTAGTTTCATAGGCTAACTGTCAAAGCATGACTTCAGCGACCATTCTTACCACGACAACAGAGGCTGCCCCGACTTCTACGCAGATCCCAGCCGCAACGTCTATCGCAAGCAGCCCTCCCGCTGCTTCTCCACCTTCCGACCCGCCGAAAACCATGTGCCAAATAAGTGTGAGGGAAATCGACAATGCCGATCCTAGTAACCATGGCGAAGAAGCATGGAAGGTGGGAATTTCCCGTGCGGGTGCGTCGGCCATCGACAGTGAAATACCCTTCTGCTACCGCGCCGAGACGACCGATGAAAGAGCAGGTATCGAAGTCAAGTGCCCCCATCTCGGATCGAGTACGATCTCCGTAAGGTGAGAAAATGGCGATGACCTGCGTTTTATCTGGGGGGATAAGACGTGGACGGCGTGGAATAATGACCGTTGTAAACTGACAGAGGGCTGGCATAATACCGACTTTTACGGAAAGGTACGCGCGAATCAACGAATGGAATTTAACCTCGTGCTCACGATAATCTTAGGACCGAAGGACGCGGAAGATTGAATGCACTTTTGAATGCACGGTTGATAGCTCTGTTGCGCCCTTTTACGATTACCCCGAACTCAACCAAACGATAAGGTCACCTTTCTAATATATGACTTTGGGCCATACCATTCTGCAGCAAGGAGCTGTAATGGTTGGATTATGTGCAGTAACATAGTACATATACCTGAGTAGAATGTATCACATCGGATTCAATCGCCCATTCTTCAAGCTTTATCTATCATAGGGCAGGCTAAAAATGACAATGTCATCAATCAATTTTTAAGTTATTAGACAATGAAAACGCGTCAAGAATCCACATTCGAACTATGCTTATGCTATTGCCACCTCGTAACTCATCCTTGACAAGTCAGTCTTCTCAATCGTCATATGAGGAGTCACCACAGCTTAGCGTCAAAGAGCGACGACTCATCGGCTTCCCTTCCACTATATAAGGCAGGCATAATCCACTTTCTCCAAATCACGCAGCGATCTCTCAAGCAAGAATCTCTAAGAATCCTCGTTCCTAATAAGGCAGGGCCTCTCATTCCCAAGAGCATTTCAGACCAGCGAATAAAAGATATCCAAACCAGCAACACCTTGGAAACAAAGCCCAGCGCCTTCGATCTATCTTCTGTTACAGATTACCCTCAGAACTGTCCATTATTCCACTTCTTCTCCAGTTGAACTATCCTGGAAATCGATTCGAACAGTATGTGTATCTGGTTTTACTGGTGGTTTAAACATTGCGAGGAACGCTGTCAAAAACTCTTCCACAACAAACCGACTTTTCGAAGTGGAGGCCGAGAGCCGATTCATCCTCTCGGAGGTTATTACGCTTGCGAATATGCTTCCAAGGGAGAGCCTTGTCCATACACCAACACTGCGCAGGGGAACCCGTCGGGGATTAAAAAGACGAACTCGGTTTGGACGGGCGGTCTGAGACATGCCTGCAAAACTATATCCGTTCTCGCGGAAAGAGACAATTGCACAGACGTTCATCGGTTGCCTAGGTGCAGGAGATAATCTAGCGGCGAATGTTTCCACAGAACTCTAACAAGAGTCTTACCCGTCCAGAAAGCTATATTCGATTCCCCGTACCTGGAGCCGGCCGCACAAGCCTCGTTGGCATCCTTTACTGGAGAAACTTGCCTTGGATCAATATCAGGAGGGTAGCGTAGTTCTGCATGCGGAAGGGTTTCTGTTTTGCTTTCTAGATTATGTTATAACTAATCCTAAGCTGTAATGGCTAAATATACTCCTAAAGTCACATCAATCTCTAAGTCAATTCATCTGCTCTTGTAATTCTACTGGTCAACCCTTTGTGTGTGTTGCGATTTTGAATTTATACTTTGGTCATCTTATCCTCTTACCTTATCTGTAACTCCTCGTTTTCCTTCAACGTAGTGTCCTTTTGAGCCGATTTCGGAAATTCATGTATAGCTTGTCTGCTTTTACACGGTAGTTCGACAGATTGATTCTAGTATCCCCATGATTTGTTTTGCCCATTGCACCCATACGCCAACCACTTCCCACCAACCCTCTTCATTATAACGGCTCCCAGACGAAGTAAAAGCCACCTTGAAGCTCTAAGCTTACTGAAAGCCATAGAGAAGCTAAATGAACGCGTATCTAACGAAACGAGTAAGTATAGTAAGCCTGTTAAACGAAGCGAGAGATTACCATCACACAAATACAGTCAAAAGGTAGCGAGGGAGATGTATGTGTAGCGTGATTGCATCAGGTAAGAAGCAGTGTATTGTCATTTTTGATTCTCATAGTCATTGGCAGGGGACATGACACACGGAAATCTGGGATTCCATGACAGAACCAAACCAGCCGCTGCAATTACAATACACAGATCATAACCATCAGTCATAGTCTGGTCATCATTCTCTTTGACACCGGAGTCCCTCGGTCCGGCTTTCCTATCAACATCCTCCACAGTGGTTCAAGCCTCCATGGTCGCCACGAATGCTATCACCACTACATGGTGAGTGCCAATCGCATATGCCTCCGTATCTCCTCCGCAATGAGGTGCCCAGCCTCCTTCGAAACATTCGAACCGACGTAGAACATTTGATGTCCTGAGCCATCCACGTCTTCATATCGCGCTTTTGGCAGTTTCAATGCCATGCCGGCTACTTCCTCGATGCAGCCTAAAGCGGCTATAGGATCATACGGAGTGACGAGCGTGTACGGTAAGAGTCGCTCAATATCGACGTCCTTCTTTTCAACGAGCTCCTTAGGCAAGTCCTTGCACATGTAGTCCAGAAACCATTTCTCGTCGCACCAGGGTAATCGTCGCTGCGCTATGGGCTTACACGCGTCCTTGTAGTACACTTTCTTCTGGATGTCGTGGATCGCATAGATGTAAGTGGCCACCTTCTTCATTGCTTTGGACGCATGCTCCGGATCGAATATATCTTTCTTGCAGCCGGAGACAAATGCTGCCTGCTTTTCATAAACTGAGCAAGATATCTTGTTTTTCTGGATGAAGTCGTAGAAGTTATTGGCTGCTACAAGGTCATCGGAGTTGTTTCTAGCCTCATCATTCGCAACCAGCTTCTTTTTCTCGATTTTCTTGCCCATGTAGGTGTCGCCCACGTCCACGATCTTACAGCCTGCTTGGATGTGTATTTCCGACACGACTTGCTTGAACAAGGATGGGTTTTGCTGCACGATCGCCCAGATGTCGCGAATGCTCGCTATGGAAAGCAGTCGAATCTTCTCCCTTTTGCGTTTGGCTTCGGTGAGGACCTCCGCTGCGAGCTCTAAGTAATTCTTGAAGCCAGTCCTCGGTTCGGCGGAGAATTCGGCGTTAAGGGCAATTTTTGTCCATTCTGCGTCTTCACGTTCGTTGTCCGTGCCCGTGGTACCTTCGGCGACTGGCACGTCCTTGATTCCCATACAGTTCCTTAGAAGCCCATAGGTCACTCTCGCTCTTTCAGTCACTGGGTGCAATGTGACAATGATGCCCTTGAGGTTGATCTTCTTCTGCCTGTGGTAATATCCAAGGATAAGCAAGGCCATCATATCATCGTAGTCATTCCCGATGTCGGTGACCACCAACACATTAGGTACTGGCATGTTTCTCGACTTAGTTGGTAAATCAGGTGGTGGAAGGTCGTCCTGAATGTAGTTGTTCGTACTGTGTGGGGTATCCTTCGTTTGCCGTGGATGGCAGAGTGTGGAGATCCAACGCAGCATGTGAGAGGTTTATATAGCCCAGTTGGGCGTTCTTTGACTGTACACTCTGAATTAGCGTGTGCAAACGGTCTGAATGAAGACAATCAGTTGTACAAACAAGAGTCATTGACGTGGCGCGACAAGTTTGACCTGTGCTTTGCGCCATGCTCATACAGTGACTTACCACCCACTATCAGCTTTGTCCTGGAGGCATGCCGACGATTACGCCAACCGCCCGCTACCACCTCTCAATGAAGATGTGGTATGTTCGTTGTTATGTACAGTTCTGTCACCGCCTTCCCACGCGACTGAATGAGTATCGTGATTATGGCTGAAGTTGTGGAAGGAGGCTGAGCTGAGGCAGTGCATCGGGGAACAATTAGCGAACAAGCCAATAGAATGAGAGGCTAGCATGCTACCTGCTCTTTCGGAGCATAGTTGCTTTGCATTATACATCAACGGTAAATACTATCGAGTCAGGATATTTCCAGGTAAAATATTGAAATTCAAAGACGCGAAAGGTCTGTTAAATACGACCAATTCACGTGACCTTCACGTGTCAAACCTCAGCAAACTTTTGTTCTACTAATGGACCTTAAACTCTATGTCTCTGAATGCCATTAATACTGATTTATATCTTCTTCCAAGTGCCGTAGTCTATCAGGCATCAATCTTGCAGGATGTGTGCGAAGGATTGCCTAAGCCCCAGGTGTTCCCACCGGGCACATTGACAAGTGCGAGATGAAGCTCTGAAAATTCAAGCTCAGCCTCAAAATTACAAGGGTAGTCCACAACCAGTGAGACTTAGCAGAATATGATATGAGCCTGAAATCGAAGTCGGGTGACTGTAGCCGGCGCTTCGGATGCCCTAGGTAGAGTTCAGGTCTTCGTTCGATGCATGCACTACGAGTTAATTTGAATCGAGAAGCATGATGAGGGCATTGAGGGTACTGCGTCGTAGCAAGACCATACGCATGACTCAAATGTCAGAGTGCTGAGCTCCATCACAGCCTACCCTAGCCTAACGAACGCAGAGGCACCCTTGCCTCATACTCAATCACCCGGCATGATAACGCCCTGTAACTCATCGGTTAGTCAAGCCCCATACGCTCCCTCCCGACGGCTGTACGATGTTTCGCTGCCTAGAATACTCCGCCGATGCATTGCAATGTCTCCATTGGGTTCTCTTGTTTCGAAACTTCGCAGACAGGGAAGCAGTTGGGTGAAGGAGGGACTACCCTGGTCTATTCTGAGTTCTGACAGACTCCGTCGCAGACGGTACCGCATTATTATGCGGACGCAAGAGTAGGATGTCAGGCTGAATGTGGGAATATAGATTGTACGGGCAGGTCTGGATCCGGGATTAGACAGATATATGTATATTCGATGTGCCTGGTGGTAAAGCCTCTCCAGATAGTTCGCTCTCTTTCTTCGAACTCCAACACAACGCCCTTATATGTGCTTTAGGAGTCCCTGTGCATACGTCCAGAGAAAAGTTCACCACCAGCATCGTACCATGGCAAACCCTGATCAGTATAAAGGTCACGCGTCTGCTGCCCGTGACTCTAGGGTCTTCCTTTCCGGACTTAAAGGATGCACTCCAGCGAAGACGGCAGGTTGTCCCTCTTCGACGGTACCCGCTCCATCGTCATCCGAATCCAGGGCCGGCAGCATACCCGCAAAATCTCCAGGGTTCAACAGTCCGCGTCGGCCTGCAGAATCCAACTTCCCGCGTCCCATCAGATCGACAGAGACGAAACCACAATCAGAACTAGAGCAGCGGTTTGAAATGATGCGTAACCCGCAACCGCAGGTCAGAGCAGCGCTGAAGTCGCCGACTGAACTACTTCGAGATCGCCTGGACCTCTCACCTAAGAAACGGGCCTATGAGAGAGTCCGAGTCTTCATACCTCCGCGTTCGATGCCAGGTGAATGTATTCTTCCAGCTCCTAATAGGCTGATAGCAGCATTTGCACGAGGAGATGTCTGTGCACGCACTGAAAGAGGAAGACCGTCGTGGTGGTGTGCTCTAGATCAGGTCGTTGTTTTTGACGGAATGGAAGCAATCGAAAGCAAAGATGCCACAGTTTTTCGAACACGGAGTAGCAAAGGTTTGAGGGTAGCAAAACGAAAGAGTGACCTGGAAAGAATCAACATTCCGCTAGAGTGCACACACTGCTGGGAGATACTGGGTCGTAAGAAATGGATATATGATGTCCGAGTATGTAAGCGGGCGGTATGTTGGGATTGCAGGGAACGATGTCGGTGGATAATGGAACAAGAGATGACAAAATGCGAAGATCAAGATGAAGTGAGGAGGGTCAGACCGGACAGTGTTCTCCAAGAACAAATGGAAGACTAAGATCTGAAGAGAAAGATTGGGATAGGGGTACGGTTAAAGAGTCCAATCGAGACACTCGGAGGCATACAAGAGCGCCTGGAGGAAACAAAACAGGCAGGAAGAGACTGATAGACAACATACTGGCGCTTCTGAAGATGTAGAGTGTAGCTACCTTTTCGTCCATACCTAGACAATGTTGCCATAAGACACAGGTCTTCGGTCTCAGTCCAGCTCCATCGCATCATCCATGAACTCGAAGGGCATATCGTCCATGTCCATCGCTTCTTGAAGGCTGCACTCCTCGGATCCAACTTGAGACAATGTCGATCCCACGAAAGAGTAATTACTGGTTTGGTTAAGGACGATGTCAAGGGCATGCTCACAGCCACTGAGAATCGTTCGCACCATAACACCAAGTCCCAGATCCTTCAGCCTGATACCCAAAGTTTCCTCACCATGGACATTTTGCCACTGCGAGGAGAGGAGCTTCTCGTCTGCATCCTTCCAGCGGTTCCGGTAGTCCTTCGCAAGAGCAAGCTGCATTTGGATGTCCTGATGACCCAGAGCAGGACAAAGTGGATTCTTGGTATCGGTCAGAGCATCCAGGAGGTTGGCATGGAACTGGTGATCGGCTTGGAGCTTTCTCTTGGCATAGTCCGGATCAGTCAGAAGACGCAAGCCGATCAGGTTCGACCTTGGAGCATTCCCTGATACGAAGATGCCAAAAAGTGCGAGACAGACCGTCAAATATCGCTCCAGAAGAGTGTAGAACTCAAAGAAGTCGACCTTGAACATGGACTCGGCTTGCTTCTTTTTGATGTTAGCCGCTTTGCTACACTGCTCCAAGGTGGAGTCACTTGCACTACTCATCCCTTGAAAGAATGTGAAACTGTATCCTTGCTGGGCGACAGGACGTTCATCTGCAGGTTGTTCGCTGTTCAATATTTCGACTGCACGTGCGTATGAGGATGCCAGAGAGTCCGCCTTCCACTTCAAGCGGATCAACAAGCGCGTGGCCCTTTCTTTTCCCTGCTTGAGTCGCTCCGAACGAGATATAGCAACACCTTCGGCGGCCGTTCGTGTAGCATACTTCGATGCACTCAGCGACTTTGCTGACATCGCCTTGGCAATCAAGTTGAAAAGCGCTCCAAACGAGCAGGACGGCTCACTGCGGACCGAAAGTATGGCTGAGGGACAGTTGGATAAGTGTACGAATGCGAGTTTCCATGCAATGCATAAAACGGAAACTATGCGGGAGAAAGGAGCGTATAGTGACGGGAACCATCCAAACATACGACCAAAATCATAACCACCGCGTATGTATAATGTGTCCGTACAGCCCTAGGTAGGCGGTGGTTGGTGGTGTAGGTGGTTCACCAGGTCTGCGTTTTGATGGTGAAGGCTTGTTGTGGCGTAGACGCTAGCCGCGAACAGTTAGCGTTAAATGCTAGCCTTGCACCCTGGGACATTCATCGTACACAGTATGTTCTCCTTACCTCTTACATTGAATATTCGAAGGGTCCTAAATCCTCTTGCTACTTGTTTAGCTTCCCTTTGAAGTGTCCATATGCTGTCTCAGCAGCACCAATTAGTGTACAGCCTACAGTTCGGGGATGAATCTCTGGGTTTAGCTTTGGTGCAGCTTGCTGTGCTTGTTTTACAGCAACGGCACGCGTGCAGCGAAAGGAGGGTGAGGAGGAAAACGTTGCAACGTGTTGGAGAGGCTCAATTCATCATATTGCCCTAACTATGTCGCACCGTCACACCTAGACAGACAAAGGTAGGCCAAGTGAACACCAGTTCTGTAGAACAACGAATATCCTGTCCATGCCCTTTTTCTGGCGCTGATCTTCTACAGCTCAACTCCGAACCATGAAGAGTCCTGCGTCTTTGCCAGTTGTCTCACACCGACCAGTCCATTCCGCCGTCCGTTCCCGTACCGTATGTTACTTCTCGGGACTACAAGCCCAGTAAGTAGGCCACCATGCACTTGCAGTGGGACCATACCTACTTCTGTAGCTTGAGTCCGCGAGCCTGTGCCTCAGCAATGAAGTGAAGGTCGAGAATCGTGTCGCTCGCCAGCAGTAGCACCTGCGGAGGGAGAGAGGTCCCGTCGCGCGCGGCCTTTCCAAGCAGGGCAGCCAGATCCTTGATCCGTTTTCTGTCTTCGTCCGTCACGATGCCGGTGGTGTATTTCATGATGAGGTTAGTGGGACCGCCCGCTTTGAGAAAGCCATCGAGGCCAGATTCGGGTTTGGGAGCAGGCTTGGTGTTGGCGTTCTCCGCGCCCGTGGTGGAGATGTCGAGGCCGGCGAGTTGCGGCGCGAGGGCGTTGGCGTCCGACATGGTATTGCAAGCGCGAAGGATTCTGCTTCTAGTAGGTTGGTTCAGGATGAGGATGGATATTGCTCATCTGATTCTCGGAGTGCGAAGGAATCAGGCCAGAGAGAAGGTGGTGCCAAGGAGAGTTGAGAAAGTCGGTGAAAGAGAGTGCAACGGGCTCAGAGCTTCCGAGATTCATTCGACGGCGAAATTATAAGCAGTAATCTCCGACAATAGCTCTGTATTCCTAAGCGTCGGCTCTCACTATGACTTTCCTTCGGTCGTTTTCAAGCCATCTAACAGTATGATGCCCATCGAAGCCGGCAAACGGTCTTATCGCTCGACTGGCACTGATGCAATGCATGTGAAAACAAAGTAGTTAAAAATGAAGAGATGAAGTGTACTACGAGAGATGCCCCCATATGTAAATAATGATGTGATTGACTAGCCATGCCCGTCGCCCTTGGTCCTAGCGTGCGAGGGCGAAATAGTATGACAAGAGACAGAGACAGAACCCGCTTTGATAAGAGAACATTGACTGTCCCAGAAAAATAAAATTCATTACCTGTGAGAACAACCCTTTGGGTAAGGTCGGGAGGCGAGATGACCCTTACGGGTAAGCATACATATGTACTCGTTTTATCATCAGAGCCACAGGGAGCACCTGTTCTCTATCCCTACCCTTACCCGTAGGCATCCAGTCATTCAGAAACTATATATGACTCCGGTGACAGAATCGTACTCAGAAGCCGCATCTTGGACGTATCTTTTGTGAGCATGACTCGGTGTCCATGGGCAATTATGCCTCTCTCTGTATCATAAAAAATCTGCTCCAGAAAGCACAAAGGTCTTACTAATGGCTTTACATCAGTATATAACGGGAATGAAATGTATGCTCGTCGTACATCTTCCCAAGACCTTAAGAATACTAGAACTGAAACCCTTGGATAGGTGATTCCTCAAGATTTCCTTTTTCTCTATCACTCTCTATCGCGGCTCTAGAACACAATGAACAGCTCAAGGGCACCAGTTTCCGGATCTACGGAACCCACTCACCCTCGGAGAAGTAAAAAGCGTAGCAAGGAAGCGAGAAACATGTGTGATCGACGTTGGACTCTTGAGCAGCTTGGAACCGATAAGGAAATAAATGCCCAAGTATGCGTGCCTGCCTTCCTAAGAAATCGACTCAAGAACTGACGGAGCAACTAGTGCCGACAAGGACCGGGACTTCAAGCGCGCCCAGGGACTATTGTCACTAATGCTACAAAATGCCGTCCATGCGAGGAGTTCAAGGAAGAATGTACAACGGGTAACGACAAATATATGATCAGAAATTTCGATAAATGTGACAAAAAGACGGAATTTGAGGTATTATTGGATTTCCGAGGCGATGCCGTTGTCATGAGCTTTTTGGCTCTGGAATATCAAGAACAAGGAACGTTCTGAATGATCAAGGCTAGACAAGCTGAGCGTGGGACGCGTCCACCGCGATATGCAAAAAGAGTCTGCAGCGAATGCAAGAGACTGGGGTGGTCGGCTTCCGTAAGATATTTTAAGGTAATGTCGCATTGACGAACTGTCAACTGAGCAGGAGACAGTGCGATAGATTACAGCCACAGTGCAGTCAATGCGCTAATTACAATCTCGCCAGTTATTGTAGATACGAGGATGAATAGCCTTTTCAAGCTTACGGCGCTGCTATAGAGCTTCCGCTGTTTCATGTCCGCTAATTATGTATCTAAATTTGGACAGCGTATGTGTACTGTAAAGGGACGGTCTAAAGTAAGGATTTGGACTGATTCGGGGAGGGAGCGACATGGAACAGGGTGGAGAGATAGCGAAGGCCTACGACTATTGCCCCTGGTGACCTTGTGATGGGTACTTAAGGCGGGACTGAAAACGGCGGGGGTTCTTTCAAGAAAAGCATGAGAGGGGAAGGATGGCAGTTTCGGGTTAAGTCTCAGTCCAGTATTGATACTCTCTGTCGAAAGTTGTACGATTTTTCCTTCCCTTCTACGGTATTCAACTTCTACGTTTGTTTTTGCTACTGGCTGCTTCCGCTTGCAGGTTCAGTGTGGAATCTATCCCTGGACTACGCTAGGACAGTTCTGGAACGTGAGATCCTGATTGAATATGCAAGTGGCAGTTTCTGCCGAATCACAGTAGAAATGAACCTTGACGGAGTGTGTGAAACCCGGGTTGCTATGGCTGCGAATGCGTGGACGCAAGAGTCTATAAGAGACCGGTGAAAGCGAGCGGAAAGGAATATTTCGTTTCGCAGACGAGTCTCGAGATGCATCAATGTCTACTCTTTCCGAATTGCTCAACCGAAGTGCAGCTCTTATTCCGGGTATGTCGTCGTGGTACCATTTACATCATAGTCGCAGCACGCTAAACTCAACGCAGTTGGTCACTCAATGCTTGTCTTAACCACCACTCGTTCTCTCTCGCTCTCTTTGTTCTAATTTCACAGCTGCGTCATTCTGGCCACGCCATGATCTTAATTGGCTTACTGCTTTCGTCCCCACTGCTTGTAACACACGTTGGAGATCTCACCATGGTGACAGATCTAGTGCAATGGCCATGGTACCCTACCTAGCCGCGGGGCTTCATACAGCTGCTCTCACCTTTGATCCATCCAGTGGCAGCCGGATTAGTCTTCCGCTGAAGGTACATCATCCGAGCGAAGCTTTGCTTACTATGGTGCCGACCTTCCCGCATGACGACAATCAAAACCATTGGGAAGCTATCGAGCTCAACACCCGACCTTTGGACCTCTACACCCGCGAGATGTTACTATCCGCAAAGTCCTTCCAAACCGATTAGTAAACAGTACTCTAGAACCCTCGAAGATGCCCTTGGCATGCTTAATAATGACCCGGGAGCTTGCTGGGGCGCTATGAGCCGGCCGAGTAGCATCACGGGTGCATCTCAAGCTGTTCCAGAACCCTTGAATGACGCATCTGGCTTCTAGCTAAATCCAGCGTCATACCATTTCTGCTGTTTGGCCCTGATCATAGTAGTTGTATTCCCAGAGGATTGTTTCAATTGGTGTCACTGACGCCCGGCAGAGCTCAGGTGAACAAAGACTGGCATTCCCGATGCGTATAGCACAACCCTAAGAGCAGAAACGAACAAATGAGCAGCGACGGGAGCGGTGTTTCTATGAAGCTTTCATGTTAGGCCGGGTCACCTGAATGTGACGACATCTGGCGGAACGACATGACCACTGATAGCGTCACTATGGGGAGGGTTCGCTGCAAGGCATAGGCAGTTCGGGGTCCTATGATGACTTTCCTGCGATTACTTGTATATTAGAGCCGATGAAGCTTGCTTCTGATCCTTTTCCATTGACGTACGTTACATCCAGCGCTGAACCGCACCCTGTCCGCTAGCCCTGTATCCATCAGGATCATCACCGTCTTGTCCGCTCATCAGCAGCAGAACCCGGAAGACTAGCAGTCCAATATGGTTGGCCTTTCTCACACCGCCGCTCGCGTTGTCGTTTCGGCGTGCAATTTCATATCTTGGGTCTCGTCGATCATCGTCGTCGGCATCACAGGCTACCTTATCAACAACTACACGAATGACATGAGACTTATATACTGGATGGTCATCTCCACAATGACACTTGCTTTCTGGATACCGTCCTTTATACTTCCGTGGCTCAGCCGCGACCGATACCATCCCTGGTACTTCCCACTGAATCTCATTTTCTCCTATCTGTAAGTCCCTCCATACCCCTGGCAACCCGAGGAGCCACCGAGGACCGAATGGTCACTGACATCCGTTGCAGCTGGCTTACGGCCTTCATCTTCGCGGCTCAGGCCTACAATCGCGGCCCGTGCCGCTTCGACTCACCCCGTGGCGCCCGCTGTTCCCTCAAGAGAGCGAACGAGGCGTTCATGTTCATCCCTTTCTTCTTCATGTTGGTCGCCGTTGTTGCCGATTTCTTGGCCAGGGGGGAGGATCGGCCTACCCGTACACATCCCGAAAAGGACGTGAGGCCGTCGGCTGACACGAGTGCTACTACAGGCCACGTCTGAAGTGAGCCGGCGCTCGTGTCAGTCCACGGCCGCTGTTTGGAGTGAGCAATGAAAAAGAGGGCTAATTTGAACGCCGAATATCGCGTCGACGGCGGTTATGCTATACAGAAAAGGCAATCTTCCTTCAGTTGGGTGTCTGTTTTATGTCGATCGTCGATCGGTATGATTATTTTCGATCAGGAAGGAACCATAATTGGGCCGGGTTATTCTCTAATGTCTTCGTTAAGCAGTTGCTTCCAGTATCTTCGCTTTAATTCTGATAGCTGTATACCCACACTCACTATTCGACGTGGGGACGTAATGATATCCGTCTACACGTCACGCTATCTGCACTGCTGTGTTTGTAAATAGGTTCCCGTTTTTCTTATTACATCTTGGTCTCACTACTCATGCAGGAACCCTGCCGACACCAAGCCGACGAGAAATATAAAATAGCTATCATCTTGTGATAGGACTTCGCAATAAGCTCATTCGAGTCTCATGAACGTGAAGGATATGATGCCGCCGAAGCTCTTGTAAATCCCCCTCAATCCCCCACCCATGAGCAAACCCCATACCTGACCAACATCTGCCCCACCACCACAAAACCCCCGACAGCCTGGCTCGCGCTGATCACATACAACATGACCCTCATTTTCGGCCCGAGCCCCGCCCACTTGAAGTGCTCCTGCTCCGCATCCTTCCACTCTTGGTCCTGCACCCACCACAGGCCCGAAGTTGCGCCTACGCAAAGCCATTGCAGCGTATAGGACTTCCAGGTAGCGGACTCGGAGTTCGGAATCGTGCCAGATTGGAAGCGAGTCATGATGCCATTGATGGCCAGAGGGGTCAGGGATATCAGAAGTGCAATGGTATATTTGAGGAGCCAGAAGCGGCGGGCAGAAGGGAAAGGGAGACGGATTGCTACTTTGCAGCGGACTACTTTCGTCAGGCGGTCCCTGCGTATCGATATATCTTTGATTGGGTATTGGTGATTCCATAGGGTTTTTAGGTGTTCGGAGTGTGTGTAGCGACGGCGAATGTTGTTGCAGGAAGGCAGAAGTAGCAACGGCCGTTCACTTGATGGTCGAAGGTCGACTGTGAGAGGGTCGCTGAGGACCTTGTACCGATGTTGCCCCTTTGATAATGCGATCATATTGCTGGCCTTCTCTCCAGAGAGGGATGGGGACTGAGCCACGTGTTTCGATGCACCAAGGATCGTGAAACTTGCAGTCGTGGACATTCCACCAGCGACATCTGACACCTCCGAAGAGAACCTCAAGTCTTGCACATCATACCTCTCTGCACAAGAGTCAACGTCGTCACAAAAACGGGTTTGTGTCTCCACTTCGTCAACTGCGGCAACCGTGCCCTTGAAGGAACCCCCTCGTGATCTTGCTTCATCCATGATACTCGATTCGACCATATACAAGCTTGCGTAATCCGGACGACAGAGGCTCCCGATAAGATTGATGGTACTCATGACGGCGAATGGCGCGACGGTGAGTCCGAATGCCGCATATCCAAACTGTTCGATTTGATCTCCTTGGGAGCGGTAGAGGGTCATTGACGCATACGCGGTCTGGGCAAGGGCAAGGAGTGCCTTTACAGTGTTGTAGTTCGCCGCAATATCTAGTTTTCCTGCGGATACATCGTTTTTCAACATGCAGTCCCCTGGAACGATGGCGAAGGTGTAACCCTCCGGCAGGTCGTATGTCCCATGGACGGTCTGACGGTGAACATAAATGGGATGGCCTAATTGTGAAAGTATCCAAGGTGGTTCGTAGGTAGCGATGTGAACACCATCTGCGGTGGTATGAAAAGCTGCGTCTGAACTTAAGTCCGCCGATGTCTCATCCGGAGCCATCTGGACGACGGCATTCTTAACCTCTGAGCCGTCGACTGGCCTCCATTTGTTCGTCCTAACCACCATACAAAGAGCTCCACTCTTAGCTGCTTTCCTCAGGTCGTCCTTCCAGTACCAAAAAGCACCACTTAGAATCGCTTCGATCCCCCTATACAGTCCCATCGCGGGGTGAAGGAGACATCCGATTACGGTTGCGGCAAAATCAACGGAGCGCTCCCCTGGCCGAGTGATGACGGTTGCAGCATGGGCGACATAGTTGAAGAGGAAGAATACGATGACGTCCGTCCATTTCGCAGGAGTGCAAAGAAGACCAGGGGTGCCATGGTTTGTTGTGCCTTCAGGAAGTGCTAGAGTGATGTTCTGGAGCGGTCGGGCAGAGACGCAATACAGCAGAAGTGAGATGTGAAGGAAATACTTCATCCTGTCGCATTACGAAGTCATCCTGTTCACATCGGGAAAGCAAAGAAAAGCTCGTAGCTTTCTGGATAGCATTTGCACGTTCATCAGAGTTGTGAGGTTGAATTAGCCTTGACCGGAATTTCGTATTTCTCGAAACTCTATTGGACCAGGCGCGCCAGGGCTAAGACGGCGGTCTTGTGGCAGATCAAGGCGGTGCATGATGCTGGGTTTGTATCGACACATACTGTGATAAGTTAGTGGTCTGCAGATCGTAGTCGAGCATAAGGGGTGTACTGTTTAGCACAGGAGTTTGATTGGCCTCAGTTCTCATCGATCTCGTCAGGAGTTCCGCACTCCGGAAGTGTTTCTCCCATCAGCAGAAGACGAAATAGAAAAGATGTGGAGTTTCCTCTCAGCACGCAAGGAGGAATAGAGTAGCGCAAACCTCTTCATGTGTTATGCGCATTGCGTACCACATCGACTAGTGATGTTCAATGCACGAGAGCACACAACGTACCTTCTGCTATGGTTTTCGGAGCTAATAAACACAGGAGCTTACTCTGTACTGCATTCCGGCCGAAGATGTTAATAAAGACGTGTGATCGTGCTTCGCGATAGCTTGTGCGAATCATGTAATGTTTCCTATGAAGAGCTTCATACCAATTCACTGCTAGCAGCTGTGAGAGAGCCCCCGCCGAGACAAGCTTTGCCAAGTCTTCACCAACCGCATTCGGCATAGCTTTATGCACCCGAACGCGGCTCGTCTCATACTGTGGTATCAGGGGTAAATATTTGACATTCGCCACCAAGGAGACAGGGGTAGGGCACGGGCCATGGAACTGCAGAGAACCTCCCAAGGGTCAGTTTTCATCCTCTCCTATACAGATTACTACTGTTTAGAATAAATTTTTACCTCTAGCTGCATCACCACGGTTGTTGTAATTCACCTCGGAGTTACCTTCTTCCATCCCCAATATCAGAGATGACAGATCAACGCCAGCATCTCACGTGCGATCAGAGACTACAGGTTCAAACACTATACGACGCTGGCTTCACGCTCCATCAGATTGCTAGGCAATTAGGCATCTCCTATGGCCAGGCACAATATGCGAACTCTCAGCCACGCGTTACCCCTAGGAAACGACCTGGCCGGCCACCTACACTGTCAGAAGAGGATGTGGATGAGATTGAGCTGTTTGTTGTAGCCTCTCAGGAAGGCAGGCTCATGACCTATGTGCAGTTGGCTGAGCAATTTAAACACCTTGGAGCTACATCTGAGATCATAAAAAGAGCCTTTGAGAGGCGTGGTTACCGGCACCGGATAGCAAGGCAGAAGCCTCCTCTCTTAGAAAGAAATAG